GGAACGAAGAATGATGAAACTAGAAGCAGCAGGACACACAAATAGCAAACCCTAAGGGGTTGTACTCACTATTGAGCACCCCACTGCAAGCTAGACAAATAACATTCTGACACATCCCCATAGCCAAAGTGGAGTGTAATCAGCAGAGCAAGCAAAGCAGTACAAGCTCAGGGTGGATCACGATGTCACCACACATTCTGAGCACAAGTTCAAGAAGCAATAGTTTATAAGTTATGAGCAAAGCTAGAGGCAGGCACAGAGGGCAAGTGAGGAGAAGGAGGGCTGCCGAGGGGAGAGAAGAGTGGAGGCGACGGCTGAAGCTGCAGACACACGGGCAACAGACGGCACTGGTGCAACTCTAGTGGCTACCGGGAGCCAGAGGCCCCGGAATACAGGAGTAACAGGCTCGGCGGCTGATCAGCAGCGGCAGGAGCAACGGACCCACGGGCGACAGGTGCAACCGGCTCTCTGAGCTACCGGTGGCTAAAGAACCCCCGGAATACAAGCGCTGCAGACGACACGACGGCGGCCTCCGCTCAACCTCCCCCAACAGTCCCACACCCCTCGACACACACCCCTTGGTCCACCCTTAGCTTCACTCCCACATCACCCCCCTAGCGCCATTCCCCTCGGCTCCCACACATCCACCCCCCTCAGCGGCAGCTGCAGCAGCGGGAGACGAAGGAGGAGGAAGGGACGACGCACACGGAGCACCCCCATACCCGTCACCCCCACACTCTCCTGTCCAGGGGACAGGGGGGGGGGGGGGGGGGGGGGGGGGGGGCAGGGGCGGCGGAACCGAACAAGGCGCACGAGGGCGCGGGCAGAGTAGAGCGCACAAGGGCGTGGGCTGCAGCAGGGCGCACGAGGGCGCGGGCAGCAGCAGGGCGCACGAGGCAAAAGGCACGAGGCACGAGGCACGAAGCACAAGGCACAAGGCACAAGGCACAGGGCGTAGGTAGGTAGAGCGCACGAGGGCGCGGGCTGCAGCAGGGCGCACGAGGGCGCGGGCAGCAGCAGGGCGCACGAGGCACAAGGCACGAGGCACGAAGCACAAGGCACAAGGCACAAGGCGCAGGGCGTAGGTAGGTAGGTAGGTAGGTAAAACGAACACAGGCACAGCACAGCACAGCACGACACGGCACGGTACGGCACGGCATGGCACGGCACAGCACTGAACGGCACGGCACAGCACACAACACAGAAGGAGACACGAGCGGACACGAGTAGCAAGGGGACGTACGAACAAAGGCGGGTAAACTCCAGGGGCGGCTGCTGCAGTGGCGGGCTGCTCCAGGGGCGGCTGCTGCAGTGGCGGGCTGCTCCAGGGGCTGCTGCTGCAGTGGCGGGCTGGTGCTGCAGGCGCGACGGCGGCAGCTGCTGCAGGACGAGCGGCGGCTGCTGCTGCAGGCCCGGGCGGCGGCTGCTGCTGCAGGCTCGGCGGCGGCAGTTGTTGCAGGGCGGCGGCGGCTGCTGCTACAGGTTCGGCGGCGGCAGCTGCTGCAGGGCGGCGGCGGCTGCAGCTGCAGGCTCGGCGGCGGCAGTTGTTGCAGGGCGGCGGCGGTTGCTGCTGCAGGTTCGGCGGCGGCAGCTGCTGCAGGGCGGCGGCGGCTGCAGCTGCAGGCTCGGCGGCGGCAGCTGCTGCAGGACGAGCGGCGGAGGTCCCCGGGGGCGCGCGGATCCAGGGGGAAGGGCGCGCGGATCCAGGGGGACGGGCGCGCGCGTCCCCGGGGGCGGCGGGCGGTTCCCCCGAGCGCTGCGACGAGCCAACGGGGGGCCGCGCGCGGCTCCCTAGGGCGCCGCGACGAGGAAACAGGGGGCCGAGCGCGGCTCCCCAGGGCTCCGCGACGAGGAAACGGGGGCCGCGCGCGGCTCTCCAGGGCTCCGCGACGAGGAAACGGGGGCCGCGCAGCGACGGGAACGGGGGGCCGCGGGCGACGGGAACGGGGGGCCGCGGGCGACGGGTACGGGGGGGCGCGGGCGACGGGAACGGGGGGCCGCGGGGACGCCACGGGGAGGGCGACGCGGCGGGTCCCCGGGGGGCGACGCGACCGTCGACGGGGAAGGAACCCGCCGCGCGCCTCGGGGCGGGCAGAAAACGGTTACACGCCCCGAGCGCGTGGCGGGAAGAAAAATATCGCGCGCCACGGGGCGCGCGACAGACAGTATAGTAGCAGCGGAAGCAGTTGATGGGCCGGATGAACTAGGCGGCAGGATCTTGCCGGCTCTGATACCATGTTGGAATAGTATGTGTGGGGCCTAGGCTTAGTAGCCTAGGCCCACACTAGGAGGTAGGTGGGTGTGCTCTAGAACTAGGAGTTAGGGTTTATGAAGGAGAATTGGAACGAAGAATGATGAAACTAGCAAGCAGCAGGACACACAAATAGCAAACCCTAAGGGGCTGTACTCACTATTGAGCACCCCACTGCAGGCTAGACAAATAACATTCTGACAGTTGTGTGCAGTTAGGCCTTGTTGACACAGGTTCTAGTCGTGTGTAGGCTTGAGTTTACTGCCTGCTTCGTTTGTACTCTTGCTATATATACTTGTGATCTCTTGGACTGGCCTTGTGGCCACTGTTGCTTGTGCTCAGAGAGTGTGGTGACGTTTTGATCCACCCTGAGCTTTGTTTTCTTTTGGACTGGTCTTGTGACCGTATTTTTTTTTATTTTGCTAGACACCCCTCACTTAGGCTATGGGGGTGTGTCAAATGTTGTAGCCTGTAGTGAGGTTTGTCTTAGGGGGTACAGAAGTTAGAGTTTGTCATATGTACCCCAACCAACATCAATGCAACATCCATTCCTCATTTTGACACATTAACCACAATTTCAGAAGATCTCAGCGGAATCAGGTCGACAAGCCTGTCGACCTGCGTCGACCTGTCGACTGCTGCCCCGGGCAGCAAAAAAACTAAACCCCCATCGGATGGCATGCCATCCGAGGGAGCCTCAACCCCTAAACACCATGCCTCCAGGCGTTTAGGGTTGAGGCCCCCTGATCGGATGCATGCCCGTCTGGGGTTTATTTTTTTTGCCCGCGGGCAGCGAGCTCCGCCGGGCGGAGTCGCTTGTCCGCTGAGCTATTTTCGGCGAACTGACAGTCCGAAAACGAATCGTCAGGGACAAAATGGTTATGCGCCCTGTTTCTTGCTTTCTTGGTCTTTTGTTCGCTCGTGTGTTTTGAAGCTGAGCAGGGAAGGAGCGAACGTTGGGCATTTATCTCCGTTGCAATACTCATTGAGCTCGATCGCATGCAAAGTAAGCCATGCGTCCAAATCATAACAAAGGTATCCTATCGTCGCCCTCGTGGTAATCAGTATGCATAACAAGTCAGAATCATTGTCTGAATGGTAACAAATAGTGCATCCGAAATTTCTAACCAGTAATTTCACTTTTCAACCGATCTGTACTCCGTACAATTGGGGTTTGACTTAGCGAACGGAAATCAAATGCCCATGAATAGACTCCAAAATGCGAATGTCAGTTTATTGTACCAGATTTTACAGGCTCGCAACGCAACCCCGTAATCTGTGTTAGTAATCTAAATAACTAACTATCAAGGAATCGCAATAGCAGAATAACATCAGACTGTCCAGAGATAGGCAAGAAGATGATTTAGTGACATTTAAAGCCCGAGGTCAGCATGGTTTTTGGAAAAAGGACTGAATGGCTTTAACGGGTTTGGCGAAAGACAAAAAACCAAGCGAGAACGAAATCAGCTAACGAAGAGAACCAATATTCGTCACTCAACTGTGCGACACCTGTCTCCTCGGGGTGGGAAGCCTGTAGCTGGTCAGACCAAATGCGTGTGTCATCTCCGCCAGCTATTCTTTTGTCTGATAGAACAATAATCTACGATAGGTAAGCGCTCTAGGAAATCATCCGGGGAGCGCATCGTTGTAGGAAATACAAACTAGTCATTGTGGGAGCGCACTTCTCAGTGCGTTTGATAGTCGCGCCTCCCCTCTCTTTATCGAGCTTCTTCTCCCCTCGTCGCGCCTCCCCTCGTCGCGCCTTACCTCCTACCGTCGCACCATTCGATGTCACGCCATTCGTCGTTTCGTGGGGCATCCCCTCGTGCCTTGCTTCCCGTCGTACTCCGCCATTCGCCGCGCTTCCTGTCCCATCGTGGCGCCTCCCCTCCCCTCGTCGCGCCTCCGCTCCTTACGTCCCCTCACCTCGTCGCGTAGTAGCGCTCCCATCCGCCCGTAGCTCTCCCATCCGCCCGTAGCGCTCCCATCCGCCCGTCAGCACGCGCGAGTCGTGAGCTTTTCCGTCCGCCCGTCGCTCGCCAATCCGCACGTAGCTCTCCCCTCCACCCGTCGCCCTTCATTCCGCCCTTCGTTCTCCCTTCCACCGTCGCCCTTCTTTCCCGTCGTCGCCCTCCATTCCGCCCTTCGTTCTCCCTTCCACCGTCGCCCTTCTTTCCCGTCGTCGTCCTCCCTTCCGCCCGTAACCCTCCCTTCTTCCCCTCGCCATCCCTTCTTCTCATCGCCCTCCCTACCGCTCGTCGCGATCCCTGCCGCTTGTCCCCTCGCTTTCCCCGTCAACCTGTCTCCTTGTCCGCCGTTGCAAAGGCAAGGGTTCCCTCTCTCCCCGTCTCCTCGCTTTCCCCGTCGCCATCCAATGCTCGTCGCCCTCGCCTTCCCTCCCGTCTCCCTTCCCATCTCGCACATTTTTCACCCTCCCATCTCTCCCCCCACTCACTCCCTTCTGTCCACCCAACAATCCCCTTCGATCCCCCCACTTATACCCCCCCCTCCCCTGCTTACCTCTCTCCCTATTCCCACCATTCTCTTCCCTGCGCCCCACCATCCTCCGCCCTGCTCTCTCCCCGGCATCTGCCCCCGTACCCCCCATCCGATTCCCTGTGTAAACGCACCCCCCCTGCCCTGCTTCCCCCCATCCTCTGACAAGCTTCCCTCCAGCACTGACCTGCTTCCATCCATCCTCTGCCCGGCTGGCCCCCACTCTCTGCCTTGCTCCCCCCAATCCCGCCCCCTACTTCTCCCTGTCCCCTTCTCCCAATCCCCTTCTCCCAGTCCCCTTCTCCCAGTCCCCTTCTCCCAGTCCCCTTCTCCCAGTCCCCTTCTCCCAGTCCCCCTTCTCTCTGTCCCCCTTCTCCCACTCCCCCGTCTCCCAATCCCTCTTCTCCCTGTCCCCCTTCTCTCTGTCCCCCTTCTCCCACTCCCCCTTCTCCCACTCCCCCTTCTCCCACTCCCCCTTCTCCCACTCCCCCTTTCTCGTCGTCGTCCTCCCTTCCGCCCGTAACCCGCCCGTCATCTCCCTGTCCGCTTTCTCCCAGTCCTCCTTCTCCCTGTCCCCTTTCTCCCTGTCCCCTTTCTCCCTGTCCACTTTCTCCCTGTCCCCTTTCTCCCAGCCCTCCTTCTCCCTGTGCCCATTCTCCCTGTCCCCTTTCTCCCAGCCCTCCTTCTCCCTGTCCCCTTTCTCCCTGTCCCCTTTCTCCCAGCCCTCCTTCTCCATGTCCCCTTTTTCCCTGTCCCCTTTCTCCCAGCCCTCCTTCTCCCTGTGCCCATTCTCCCTGTCCCCTTTCTCCCAGCCCTCCTTCTCCCTGTACCCTTTCTCCCTGTCCCCTTTCTCCCAGCCCTCCTTCTCCCTGTGCCCCTTCTCCCTGTCCCATTTCACCCAGCCCTCCTTCTCCCTGTGCCCTTTCTCCCTGTGCCCTTTCTCCCTAACCCCTTTCTCCATTTCCCCTTCCACCCTGTCTCCAATCTCCCTGTCCTCTATACCACTAGCCTGCACCACCCCTTTCCATCCTGCTAGTCTCGCACAGTAGGGACACATTGCTTGAGTGTTTTTGTTTTTTTTTTTACAACCATGGCGGAAGCACTTCCCATTGTTGTATGCACGTAAAATTCTGCCACTCATTCCCCACTCCACTCCCTCTCCCACCCACCTGGCCCCTCCCCTGCTCTTCTGCGCACAGGGATAGTGGTCGCTGGGAAGCAGGGAAGGGGTTGCTGCTAAAGCTTCAGAATACGGGATGGGAAGCAGGGAAGGAGGTTGACCTATGTCCCCTCGGCCTCCCCATTCCTCCCCATGTCTCCCCATGCCTCCCTCCGTGCGCCCCCTGCACCACCTGCAACCCCTGCACCTTCACAGCCTCTTCCTGCTGCTCTCCGCCTTTCCCCCCGCCTCGCTGCCCTTTGCTGCTGCTGAGTTCTCCTCCCACTAGCCGCAGCTCTAGCGCAGGTTGACTACGATGTTGTGCGTTAAAGACCGGCATGTGTGCTTCACCGAAGTGCTACTTACCAGCCTGAACATAGTGACTCATGAGTGTATACTCACCACGTATGACTCGCCTTATGCCAGTCCACTTGTTGGATTCGATGGTTGGCCTTCGCGTATTACCGTATTCTCCCGGATATAGGACCCCGGGGACTTTCCTAAAATAGAGGGAAAATGGTTAGGGTGAACATTTAATCGGAGCGAGTTCTAAGTCCCGGGTACACTTATTAATCAAGTACAGTTATGCAATTTAGGGTGTATCATTCGTTTTTTTTTTTTTGGGGGGGGGGGGGGGGGGGGGACTTTTATTTTGCACGTCCAAATCCATCGCTTACAGCACTCCGAACCTGATAACGCGTGTGACACGCGTCGTCCAACGAGGCACGACGGCGGAAATCACACCATTCGAGGCGAACCGCACAGCATCTTGACTGTGCGGTTCCCTCCGATGGTGCCCACATCCAGACCCCCCCACCCCCCCCTTTGCATCACGTCTGTTCCTTTAGAGGCAGAGATAGGGACAGGCTCTGGACGTGGTGCGAAACGCATCCCTCACAAGTCCAGCAGGCAGCCGAGCTTGTGACAACACACCCCAGCGCTGTGTCTTACGCCTCTGATTCACTTTGTTAGCTCAGCCGCACTACAAAGAACGCCTCATGGCGCCAGTAAATCGTCAAGCGCAGCGAGTTTGCTAGTTAAGCACTAGAGTTCCACCATGTCGGCTTTCGAAATCCCGTGGCGTACGCGCCGTGCCTCACCGACTTCATCGCGGCCGGCCATCATTCTGATTACTAGCCCGCGTCCGCCAGCACCACCTGCGCCTCCCGCACCTCCTGCCCCGCCTGCTCCACCGACGCCGCCTGCGCCACCCGTGTTGCCCCCGGGTTTCGTTTCCCATCAAGACCGGCCTCTCTTCGAGCCCTCGGACGAGGAGGCCTTTCTCGCGCCATAAGACGTCCCCGAAAACAACGATGAGACCGACGAGGCGGCCGACGGTGTTGGCGGGCTCCCCGTCCCCACCTTTCCCGAAGACCTCGTCCACGATGAAGCTGGTCCCGAGTCAACGAGAGACGCCGCGCCTGCAAGTCCGCGTTCTCGCAAGTGTGATCACCGTCGCACGGCTCGCACCATGGGTGAGAAGTGGCAATGGCTTTTGCGCATGAAGGACAAGAATCTGTCAATTCGTCACACTGCCCGTCTTGCAGGGGTTCAGCCAATCAGCGTCCGCTGTTGGCTGAAGATCGCGCAGGAGATAGAGGGTACATTCCTACCTCGTGTCTGACATGAGGTCAGACACGAAGTGAAGTTGAGGAAGACCTGAAGTGACCTCGAACTCTGGCAAATCAATGTTCGGAAGACCCGAAGTGGGCCACTTCGGGTCTTCCGAACCTCCATCCAAACCTCCACTTCGTGTCTGACACGAGGTAGGAATGCACCCAGAGAAGGCTGCGCCGAGCAGGCGTCGGCTGAGGGGTGGCGGTCAGCGTGCGAAATACCCCGACATGGAGCAGGCCGTGTACAAGAAGCTCTTGAACTTCCGCGGCAGGGGGTTAGCGGTCCCGATCAAGCTCATCAAGCAGTGGAGCAGGACGTTCATGAAGCACCACCACCCGGACGTCGCTTGGATGGCCTTCGCGCGCTGGACGTTTCGCTTCCGTGCACGGTGGGGTCTCGCCATCCGTGTGAAGACGAAGATCGGGCAGCGCCTCGCCAAGGGTATGCGTAATTTGTATCGCATCGTCAATCTCAATCCGTGGTTGCGTTTGAACCGCCTCCCGTTGTTTACTCCATTGACTCACGTCTTTCACCGGTTTTTTAATTTTCTCCGCAGATTGCAAGCCCAAGTGCGAGTCCTTCAGGGAGTTCGTACGGCGGAACGTCATCAAGTGGAGCATCGACACGTGGAACATCATAAACGCGGACCAGACCTTGGTGTTCTTGGAGATGCCGTGCGACCGGACTCTTCACCACCGCGGCGAGAAGTCTGTGCACGTGCGCAGCGCGGGGTACGAGAAGCAACGGGTGACTGTGATGCTGGGCGTCACGGCGGACGGATGCAAGCTCCCAGCGATGGTCATTTTCAAGCGGAAAACCATTCCGAAGATCCGCGTGCCGCCAGGTAATTTCCGTCTTGCCCCTGAAGCCGAGGTGGTTGATACCTCAGGATGTTTAACAATCTCCGCGTCCGCGCTCGTGTGCAGGTGTCATCATCCGCGCGCATGAGAAGGGGTGGATGGACGGCAAACTCGTAGACGACTGGGTTAACACCGTCCTTCTCCCCTTCATCAAGCCGCCTCGTGGCATCCGTCGGTCCAAGACCCTCCTGGTCTTGGACTCCTACCGTGGACACATCACGGACGGAGTCCTTGCGAAGCTCCGGTGGCACCGTGTGATCCCCGCCATTATCCCGGGTGGGTGCACGCCCCTGCTGCAGCCCCTTGACGTGAGCATCAACCGCTCCTTCAAGGCAGGACTGCGCACCTTCTACAACGACTGGTTTGCCGATGAAGGGGTGAACAGCTTCACCCCTGCAGGTGCGTCTATTTTAAGGGTTTTAAACTGTAACCAAGTGGTTTCACACGGTGACACAATAAACACACTCACCCGAGTCTGTGTGTATTGGCCAACCTTGCAGGGAACCTGAAGAGGCCCCCCGCTGACACAGTGCTGAAGTGGATCGCTCATGCCTGGAGTGACGTGCCTGAGCACATCATTGTGAAGGCGTTCCTGACCACCGGCATCAGCAACGCCGTTGACGGCAGCCAGGATCACCTCGTCCTGGCGCACATGCGGGATGCTGGCCAAGTCGAGGTGGGAGAGGACGTCCACGCCTCCCCATTGGTGGAGGAGTGGGTCAACCCCCTCTACACCACGACTGCTGACGACGAGGAAGCTGCCCGCGAGGCGGACGACGAGGACTGTGGGGACATGCCCGCGGCAGAGGATGACATGGAGGAGGAGGAGGAGGAGGAGGAGGAGGAGGAGGAGGAAGAGGAGGAGGAGGAGGAGGAGGAGGAGGAGGAGGAGGAGGAGGAGGAGGAGGAGGAGGAGGAGGAGGAGGAGGAGGCGGAGGCGGAGGCGGAGGAGGAGGAGGCGGAGGCGGAGGAGGAGGAGGAGGAGATCGAGGGGGAGGCAGAGTGGGGAGATGTGGAGGAGGATGATGTCGTGTAGGGAAAAGGGGGATGCAAGAGGAAGGTTAGCTAAGCAGTACCGTAGATGTGTATGACTTTGATTTCTGACTTACCAGTTTTGACTTGTTCCATGCCTTATCTTTGTGTCTAGTGTGATTCCAAGTGCAACATTTCTTCTACATTGTTGGGCAATGGTTTCTTAACCAGAATCCCCTCCTCTAGGGGAAGGGGGGGGGGGTCTTATACTGATTATAGGCTTAAGGGGGGTCCTCTCGCATATGCTACATATTAAGAGTCCCAGTACCGTTCAAAAGACCCGGGGGTCTTTTTTTCGGGAGGGTCCTATATCTGGGAGAATACGGTATGTTGCGTGTGTTTAGTAGGGACCATAACTTACACACCTAGGTTCTTTCTTTGCACTCACTTCATCTCTTATTACGGTATTTGTGAGAATCATCGTCTGTTATGGTACAGCAATTCCATTGAAAGGAAAAGAGAGGTGTCTGGCTTGCGGATTCTCAGAAGTGCTGCACTCACAACACTGCCAATTGCATAATCAGAAACGTCAGCAGCTACCGCAATAGGGCCGGTATCGACATGTTGCATCACGAAGAGCTCGGGTCAACACCAAGATATGGGCTTCGATGGCCTACTGCGAGGAACTAGAGGAGCAAAGGGGGAGGGAGGGAATGGGGAGAGAGTAGAGTGAGCAGCCGAGCACTAAGAATTGTGTTGGCATGTTGAAATGCACATGGTGTGGGGGAGGTGGGAGGGAAGGCGTGGGCAGCAGGCGGCAGCATTGCGGCAGGGATGGGCGAGAGTGCGAGAGAGTGGCGCTCATCACTTGTGCCGGCGGAATCCAGTCGTTGAAGAACTTGAGCATGCGCGTGTTGCTGCAGAACAGAGGATGAGGGGAAGGGATGGCAGAGGATGAGGGAAGCAGAACAGAGGATGAGGGGAAGGGATGGCAGAGGATGAGGGGAAGGGAGGGCAGAGGCTGAAGGGAAGGGGGGAAGAAGGGAAGGGGATGGAGGGAAGCAGGGAAGGGGATGGGGGGAAGGAGGGAAGGGGATGGGGAGAAGGAGGGAAGGGGATGGGGGGAAGCAGGGAAGGGGATGGGGGGAAGCAGGGAAGGGGATGGGGGGAAGCAGGGAAGGGGATGGGGGGAAGCAAGGAAGGGGATGGGGGGAAGCAGGGAAGGGGATGGGGGGAAGCAGGGAAGGGGATGGGGGGAAGCAGGGAAGGGGATAAGGGGAAGCAGGGAAGGGGATGGGGGGAAGCAGGGAAGGGGATGGGGGGAAGCAGGGAAGGGGATGGGGGGAAGCAGGGAAGGGGATGGGGGGAAGCAAGGAAGGGGATGGGGGGAAGCAGGGAAGGGGATGGGGGGAAGCAGGGAAGGGGATGGGGGGAAGCAGGGAAGGGGATAAGGGGAAGCAGGGAAGGGGATGGGGGGAAGCAGGGAAGGGGATGGGGGGAAGCAGGGAAGGGGATGGGAGGAAGCAGGGAAGGGGATGAGGGGAAGCAGGGAAGGCGATGGGGGGAAGCAGGGAAGGGGATAGGGGGAAGCAGGGAAAGGGAAGGGGGAAAGAAGGGAAGGGGATGGGGGGAAGCAGGGAAGGGGATGGGGGGAAGGAGGGAAGGGGATGGGGGGAAGGAGGGAAGCAGAAGGGGGGAAGCAGGGAAGGGGAACCCGCTGAAGCAGAGAAGGGGATGGGGGGAAGGAGGGAAGGGGATGGGGGGAAGCAGGGAAGGGGATGGGGGGAATGAGGGAAGGGGATGGGGGGAAGAAGGGAAGGGGATGAGGGGGAACAGCGAAAGGGACATGGGGAAGCAGGGAAGGGGACATGGGGAAGCAGGGAAGGGGACATGGGGAAGCAGGGCAGGGGATGGGGGAATATGAGGGAAGGGGATGGGGGGAAGAAGGGAAGGGGATGGGGGGAATCAGGGAAAGGGACATGGGGAAGCAGGGAAGGGGACATGGGGAAGCAGGGAAGGGGATATGGGGAAGCAGGGAAGGGGACATGGGGGAATATAAGGGAAGGGGATGGGGGGAGAAGGGAAGGGGATGGGGGAATCAGCAAAAGGGACATGGGGAAGCAGGGAAGGGGACATGGGGAAGCAGGGAAGGGGATATGGGGAAGCAGGGAAGGGGACATGGGGGAATATGAGGGAAGGGGATGGGGAGAGAAGGGAAGGGGATGAGGGAATCAGCAAAAGGGACATGGGGAAGCAGGGAAGGGGACATGGGGAAGCAGGGAAGGGACATGGGGGAATATAAGGGAAAGGGATGGGGGGAGAAGGGAAGGGGATGGGGGAATCAGCAAAAGGGACATGGGGAAGCAGGGAAGGGGACATGGGGAAGCAGGGAAGGGGATGGGGGGAAGAAGGGAAGGGGATGGGGGAAAGGGACATGGGGAAGCAGGGAAGGGGACAAGGGGAAGCAGGGAAGGGGATGGGGGAATATAAGGGAAGGGGATGGGGGGAAGAAGGGAAAGGGACATGGGGAAGCAGGGAAGGGGACATGGGGAAGCAGGGAAGGAGACATGGGGAAGCAGGGAAGGGGATGGGGGAATACAAGGGAAGGGGATGGGGGGAAGAAGGGAAGGGGATGGGGGAAAGGGACATGGGGAAGCAGGGAAGGGGATGGGGGAATATAAGGGAAGGGAATGGGGGGAAGAAGGGAAGGGGATGGGGGGAATCAGCGAAAACGACATGGAGAAGCAGGGAAGGGGACATGGGGAAGCAGGGAAGGGAACATGGGGGAATATAAGGGAAGGGGATGGGCGGAGAAGGGAAGGGGATGAAGGAATCAGCGAAAGGGACATGGGGAAGCAGGGAAGGGGACATGGGGAAGCAGGGAAGGGGATGGGGGAATAAAACAGAAGGGGATGGGGGGAAGAAGGGATGGGGATGGGGGGAATCAGGGAAAGGGACATGGGGAAGCACAGAGAAAGATGGGGGAAAGCAGGGAAGGGGCTGGGGGGAACCTGGAATGGGGATGGGGTGAAGCAGGGAATGGGACATGGGGACGCAGGGAAGGGGATGGGGGGAAGCATGGAAGGGCGTGTGGGGGAAGCAGGGACGGGGACATGGGGGGAAGCAGAGAAGGGACACGGGGGAAGCAGGGAAGGGGACATGGGAGGGAAGGGAAGGGGATGGGGGAATATAAGGGAAGGGGATGGGGGGGAAAAGGGAAGGGGATAGGGGGAAGCATGGAAGGGCGTGGGGGGAAGCAGGGACGGGGACATGGGGGGAAGCAGGGAAGGGGATGGGGGGAAGCATGGAAGGGCGTGGGGGGAAGCAGGGAAGGGGACATGGGGGAATATAAGGGAAGGGGATGGGGGGAGAAGGGAAGGGGATGGGGGAATCAGCTCTAGGGACATGGGGAAGCAGGGAAGGGGACATGGGGAAGCAGGGAAGGGGACATGGGGAAGCAGGGAAGGGGATGGGGGAATATGAGGGAAGGGGATGGGGGGAAGAAGGGATGGGGATGGGGGGAATCAGGGAAAGGGACATGGGGAAGCAGGGAAGGGGACATGGGGAAGCAGGGAAGGGGACATGGGGAAGCAGGGAAGGGGATGGGGGAATATGAGGGAAGGGGATGGGGGGAAGAAGGGAAGGGGATGGGGGAATTAGGGAAAGGGACATGGGGAAGCAGGGAAGGGGACATGGGGAAGCAGGGAAGGGGATGGGGGAATATAAGGGAAGGGGATGGGGGGAAGAAGGGAAGGGGATGGGGGGAATCAGCGAAAGGGACATGGGGAAGCAGGGAAGGGGACATGGGGAAGCAGGGAAGGGGACATGGGGGAATATAAGGGAAGGGGATGGGGGGAGAAGGGAAGGGGATGAAGGAATCAGCGAAAGGGACATGGGGAAGCAGGGAAGGGGACATGGGGAAGCAGGGAAGGGGATGGGGGAATAAAACGGAAGTGGATGGGGGGAAGAAGGGAAGGGGATGGGGGGAATTAGGGAAAGGGACATGGGGAAGCACAAAGGGGGATGGGGGAAAGCAGGGAAGGGGCTGGGGGGAACCTGGAATGGGGATGGGGTGAAGCAGGGAATGGGACATGGGGACGGAGGGAAGGGGATGGGGGGAAGCATGGAAGGGCGTGGGGGGAAGCAGGGACGGGGACATGGGGGGAAGCAGAGAAGGGACACGGGGGAAGCAGTGACGGGAAAGCCAGGGCGACGAGGGGAGAGAGATACGGGGATTGCGAGGGGACGAGCCGGAGGGAGGGCGATGAGCAGCAGGGAGCGCGACGAGACAAAGGGGGGCAACGGGCGAAAGGGATGGCGACGGCGGAAGGGAGGGTGACGGGCGGAAGGGATGGCGACGGCGGAAGTGAGTGCGACGGGCGGAAGGGAAGGTGACGGCGGAAGGGAGGGCGACGGCGGAAGTGAGTGCGACGGGCGGAAGGGAAGGTGACGGGCGGGAGGGATGGCGACGGCGGAAGGGAGGGTGACGGGCGGAAGAGATGGCGACGGCGGAAGGGAGGGTGACGGGCGGAAGGCATGGCGACGGCGGAAGTGAGTGCGACGGGCGGAAGGGAAGGTGACGGCGGAAGGGAGGGCGACGGCGGAAGTACGTGCGACGGCGGAAGTACGTGCGACGGGCGGAAGGGAAGGTGACGGGCGGAAGGGATGGCGACGGCGGAAGGGAGGGTGACGGGCGGAAGGCATGGCGACGGCGGAAGTGCGTGCGACGGGCGGAAGGGAAGGTGACGGCGGAAGGGAGGGCGACGGCGGAAGTGAGTGCGACGAGCGCTAGGGAGAGCGACGGGCAGTAGGGCGACGGCGGGAGGTAGTTTGATGGGCGTAAGAGGGTGCGACGGGTGCGTCGAACGTACATGTGAGGCTAGGGCCCGTTCCGTGCGCTTGATCCGTGCGCTTCGAACGTAACATGCGAGCTCCATCGACCCTGTAGATTTGGGCGTGGCGGGTGACGTTTTTCTTGTTGCTGGCTAAAATTATATTCGTTGGGGGGGAAAACCGTCAGACTGCTGCAAGGTTCTAGACATCACGCCGCCATTGTTTGAAAGCGATATTACGCGCTCTTGTGGTCTAGAAGAGCGGAGCGCACTACATTTCCTAGACTCAATATGGCTGCACGTAAGTACAACTTGGTTTTCAAGTTTACTGAGGGTGAACAGTGGACCAACTCCCGTTGACACTTCACGCGGAATACTTTTTTTTGTCGCTGGCCAATCATGCATCAGAGTTGTGAAGGAAAGCTACACTTTGGGTGGTAACCTGGTTTTTGGCGAGTTCATATTCAAGAATCTTGAATTTGAAAAATGCCATTTGAAAGATGCTGTTGATTTAATAAACCAACATTCGCATTCTGTAGACTATCCATACGCAGCCTATTTCCGTTTCGCTGAGTCAAACCTTGAGTGTATGGTGTATGGTTCGGTTGAAGCGCTAAGTTACTAGTTAGGGATGTCGGATGCACTGTAACTTTACCTTACAGGAAAAATTCTGACTTGTTAGGCATGCTGGTTACTACCGAGGCGACGATAGGATACATCCATTGCGATTGTGACGCGTGACGTCTTTTGCGTGCAATTGACCTCAATAAGTGTTACTGCGGAGGCAGTTGCCCTATGGCAAAGAGGTGTCGAGCTGCCATCGTCATCATGAATCGGGAGTGATGTTGGCTGCCGACGTGTCACGCGAAGTTACCCGCGAAGGAGGAGCTCTCGCCGCGTCACACGCATTAGGACGCGGTACAAGTGCTCGATCGGGCGGGTTCTTGATACGGTCACCGCACTTAAACCCCGCGTTGTACATACGAAAGGTACACAACCGTTTACAAACGCGCTAAATAACGAACCTGAGGCGATCGTCCTTACTGCGGCAGCAGAAACGACACTTCCTGATCATCGTCTTTGTATTTTCCACGCTCTCGTACTAGGCACCAGCGTTATGTATTTTCCATATGCGTCTCTCTCATCATATGGCTTTGTCTGCCGTGGCAACTCAAGTCTCATCTCAGTCGCTTCCAATCCCGTCCCATCCCATGGCTCGACATGGAGCAGCGTCGCCGCCCCGTTGTCCGACGATGACCGCACTGGTCGTCGTCGTCGCGCTGAGTCATCTCAGTGGCTCTCCCAGCTCCACGCGCAACACTCACGAGGCCTCCTCTTTGATGGCAAGTGCCAATAGCTACCTTTTGTCGTCCGTTGTGGCAGTGGAGGCTGGTGTTCGCGCTCTGTCCTCGCAATTGCCAACACAGCGCAAGCGACGGGCGACATGGTTTAGCTGAGATCCACCATCTCATGCTCCGCCACTTCCATCGTCGCGCAAGAAGGCATTGCAGGCCCATTTCGAAACATCGTGACCTCCAAGTCGTGTCTAGTTTCAAAACGCTGGAAATCTCCCTACTAGTTGGTTGATTCTGTGTCCGCCAAGGCGTTTCACCACAGTCAAGTTTCGATTGGGAGTGCAAAACTTGGAAACGCAGGCTCAGTTTTCCAGGCGGCGGCCCGAGCAAAGCAGCCGTGACAGCAGATTCGAGAATTCTCAGAAGTGTCGGAAGCGCATGCACAGCCGTGACTCCACTGCCGCTGCATCAGCAGCCGTCTGCACGATTCCTTCACCCTCACCACTCCTCCACTGCAGTCGTTGCTCAGCTTACCACGTCTTGACCTTCTTTCCGTCTGGAGAGTGATGGGCGACCGAGACCGGCGCAGCTTCTCCTTCTCCTTCCCTCCGCCGCTGCTGCACCTCCGCCTGCCGCTGCTGCTGCTGGGGGGGCTGCTTCTGCTGCCGCCGTGCCCTGCTGCCGCCACTCGCATCAACCACGCCCAAGGTCGCCCGCTCCTCCCCCTACGTGCACCTCCTCGCCTCTCACTTTCCCCCGCTCTACCTCACTCTACCTCACACTACCCTACTCTACCAAACTCCCCTCTTTCCCTCCTGATATCTTCAACTCTCCCCCTCTTACCTCTTTCCCTCTTCCCCTCTTACTCTCCCTCTCCCTCAAACGGCCCTTTCATTTATAGTCCAGAAAACTACAGGCATGCAGGTGGGAACGTATACATCCTAGCAACTACATCCCTCAGGCTCACGAGTGCTGATTGGGTCGGTGATAGTCCCATCACAAACCCATACTGCCCTGAGGACCAATCCCGGACTGCTCAATTCGCCTTGCGAATTTTTGAGAAATTTCAAAAGTCACACCAATATTATCCGCCTTGCGGTTGTCAACCGGGCAGACATTCGTTTCTTTGTGCGCGATGAAGTCAACGTCTTGCACCATTCGGACACACTCGTCCCTGAGTTCGTTGTGAGTCTTTGTTCTTCCCCCCCGCTGCTATGCTCCCTCGCTGCTATTCCTCTGTTCTGGCTTCGTCCACACCCCAATGAACATGCACACTGCTCGCTCAGTACCCAACCCGCCCCCCACGCTTCAACCTCCCTTCCCCCTACCTCCCTCAGGGAGTCCCTCCTGCCTCACCCCTGCCTCACCCCTCGCTTCTCCTCCACTGCCCTCTTCGGCCTTCCCTCCCCCTCTCCCTCCCCCCTCCCCACCCTCCCCCCTGCCTGTCCCCTGCCTCCCTCGTTCCCCGTTCCCCTGGCAGCGCGGGTGCTGGAGGAGTGCGCTGCAGCATGGGACTTTTCGGGATGGGGCGGTTTGCCGAGCAATTGGCACGTGGGGGGCGACTGTGACGCGGCAGATTACATTAAGTGCGACGCCAACGGGCTCATCACTGATTTGAATCTTGACAACACGCCCCACTATGATTATGATTGGGGGTTTGATGACGGATATCAAGGAAGGCCGGACATGTGGGATTTATGGTAGGAAGGAGGAGATGTGGGGAGAGGAGGGAGGGAGGGAGGGAGGGAGGGAGGGAGGGAGGGAGGGAGGGAGGGAGGAAGGGACTGGGGGGCGATGGTGGGATGAATGGACGGAGTGAGGGAGGGAGGGAGGGAGGGAGGGAGGGAGGGAGGGAGGGAGGGAGGGAGGGACTGGGGGGCGATGGTGGGATGAATGGACGGAGTGAGGGAGGGAGATCTGCGGACACCCAGGGGAGGGCGCGGTGGGCTACAATGGCCACTGACATTTCGTCTCTGTGCTGTAGCTGTGCTTCACTCTTCTGCTGCTTCTGTGCCTGTTCGTGTGTGCGTGCGTGCGGGTGTGTGTCTGTGTGTGTGCTTGCTTGTGTGTGTGCCTGTGCGCTCAACACAACACAACAGGCCGATTCAAAGCCCACCTCTAACTGGATCCATTCCAACATCGCTTGGCACTCTCACCTCTCTCACCAGCATGTACTTCTCACAGCTCTCTGACCTGCACCTGTGTTGTACGGGGCAGTGCAAATGTGCTCTTGGAGTGTGACTGTCTTTGTCTCACTCTTCTGCATCCCTCACGTGTCTTAACCTGAGAGCCCTCTCCTGCTCTCACTTGCTCTCCCGTTTCAAATTCCGTCTGTCCGTCATTATCCTGATTTCTCGCTTTTAGTATTGGCAAGTCCAGCGTTGGGTCTCACAGCATTGGGGATCGAGGCATTGGGCAGTGGGAGGGAGGGTTAGCGGGAGGCTGAGAGGGAGGGAGGGAGGGGGGAGGAAGGGATGGAGAAAGGGAGGGAGGGAGGGAGGGAGGGAGGGAGGGAGGGAGGGAGGGAGGGAGGGAGGGAGGGAGGGAGGGAGGGAGGGAGGGAGGGAGGAGGGAGGGAGGGAGGGATTGGGGCAGTGCAGCATGGGTCATTGGGCAGCATGGGGCAGAGCAGCATGGGGCAGAGCAGCATGGGGCAGAGCAGCATGGGGCAAAGCAGCATGGGGCAGAGCAGCATGGGGCAGAGCAGCATGGGGCAGAGTAGCATGGGGCAGAGAAGCATGGGGCAAAGCAGCATGGGGCACCACAGTATTTGGCAGTCCAGCATTGGGCCTTCTCCCATACCCCACATGTCCCCGTCGCAGCGATCTCGCCTACAACCAGCTGTCTGGTGTCATTCCACCTGGCATAAGCGCCCTCACGGCCATCCAAGCCCTGTAAATGTGCCTACAACCAGCTGTTTGGTGCCATTCCACCTGACATAAGCGCCCTCACAGCCATTGGCAACCAAGCAACCATTGATCACCGAGCAACCCATGCCTCCCTCCAATGCCATGTCTCACTTCCATGCTGTCACCATACCCCCCACGCGTCATGCCAACGTGCCGATCACTCCCCATCTCCCATGGCCCGCATGTCCCTGTCGCAGCAATCTCTTCAACAACCAGCTGTCTGGTGCCATTCCCCCCGGCATAGGCGCCCTCGCATCCCTTACGTATCTGTGAGTGTGCCAGTCATTTGCAAACAAGCAGCCATAGAGACGACCAAGCAACATAGGCAGTGTCTCTCATAGGGCAGCAACCATAAGCAACTTGACACAGCGCTTGAGCTAGAAAGAACGGAAGTAAAAAACGAAGTTATCTAAAACAAATTTGATGGTAAAAATTGCTTCACGAAAAGCAATGATGGTGCAATTCGTAAAGGGAGTTGGAGACTCAGTTCGAGCTCCAAACCTCTCTTAGAGGTATGACGGTCTCAAGCGCTTCATCAGGACTGTAAGTAAGCCATGCATTGTGCATACCAATGACTTTTGCAAGTTACGTGTGCAACTTCACGCAATAGAATCGTTACCCATATAAGAAACACGTGAACTGGCACTATTTTTGAGGCGCCTCAACAACCGTAGACGACCCAACAATCCGTAGTGTTTGCTGCATGGAAGGACAATGTTGTCTTGGGTGTGTGTCTGCCTTGGTCCTCTCGTAGATAGTGATCGGCCCTCATAAGCGCCCTCATGGCCTGCCAAGAGCTGTAAGTGTGCCAGCCATTGGCCTCCAAGCAACCATTGATCTCTATGCAATCCATGTCTCCCTCCCATGCTGTCACTATACCAACGTCCCGCGTATCCCCGTCGCATCGAACTCTCCAACAACCAGCTGTCTGGTGCCATTCCTCCCTCCTTAAGTCCCCCCACATCCCTCGTAACCTTGTACGTGTGCCAAACATTGTCAACCAAACACACATTGACAACCAAGCACACATTGACATGTCAGAATATAGCAGCAAGAATCATAAGATTGAAAGAAACATGGGTATAAGTACTAACCCTAACTTTGGGTTGTACCCCATTTGGGCTACCCCACTACAGCCTACACAAAACTAATACATATTATATTTGACACACCCCCATAGGCAAAGTGGGGGAAAACAAGTGGTCACAAGACACAGTCAAGAGAAGCGAAGTAAACTCAGGGTGGACCACAACGTCACCACACACACTGAGCGCAAGCAAAGGGTTATAAGGCTAGTTCATATGCAGAGGTATATATGCAACACCAACAGCACAGTGATCTCTACCTAGCAGAGCAAGCATGCAGGTATATATATAGATCACAGTACAAGCAAAGTCTACAACAAGTGAGGAAAGTGGGCACAAGGCCTAACAAAGTGCAAAAACGTTGATGATCATCAGACGGAAGTGCCTTGGTGAATATATCAGCAATGTTGGCCCGAGTGGCCACGCGAGCAAGACGAAGCTGACCACGCTGCTGCAACTCTCGAGCCAGAAAGTAACGCAGAGCGATGTGCTTCATTCTGTGCTCCAGTCTGTGCTCCTCACACAAGGCAATGGCAGCCTTGTTGTCGACGTACAGCACTGGAGGAGAACGAGGCCGCTCTCCCAGGTCGGTCAGAAGGTAGGTGAGTCAACACAACTCCTGTGCAGCCATGGCTGTGGCGTAGTTCTCGGCCTCACAACTGGAGCTGAGAACTGAAAACGAGCGTGTAGAACGCCATAAAACTGACCCAGAGCTAAGGTTGAATGTGTAACCCTGTGACGACCGCTGCGTAGCCTGGTCGTCAACCCAAGAAGCGTCTGAGTGCCCAGTAAGGACAACGTCGCGCCGTCCTCCAAGCACAAGCCCCATGCCCTGTATTGCATAAATAGCATATTACCTTCTTAGCAGCATCCATGTGCACCTTTCGGTGCCGACCAGGAGCCACGTAGCGAGCAAGAAGGCCAAGAGGGTACGCAAGGTCAGGACGAGTGCAGGTCATCAGGTACATGAGGCAGCCCACTAGCTATGGGCACTCGGCTCTACGGACTCGTCCGAAGGTGGAGCTGAGAGCGAGTGACATGTAGCCAGAGGAATGGCCTGTGCCAAGGACCAGGTGAATACGAAACGCTGAAGGACCTGCTGCACCATGTGTGACTGAGTCAAGGTGATGGTGCGCCGTGCTCTGTCCCGGGTGATCTGCAAGCCAAGGTAACTGCGCAGCTCACTCAGGTCTGTGCACGTGTGTCTCTTCTGCAGCTCCAACTTCACCAGGGCGAGAGCCTCAGTGTCAGCAGTGGCAAAGACCAAGTCATCGACGTACACGAGGATGCAGATCGGCGCCTGCGAAGTGTTGGTGTGCAGAAACAGCGACGGGTCAGCAGTCGACGGAGCAAATCCAAGAGCCGCAAGTGTCGTCCTCAGTGTGTCGTGCCACTCACGTGGCGCCTGGCGGAGACCGTAGACCGGCCGCCGGAGGCTCCACTGGGTACCAGGAGGGAACGACCAAGTGAAGCCAGGAGGGGGGCACAGCCAGATCTCCTCGTGCAGGCTGCCCTGCAAGAAAGCTGTGCTGAAGTCGAGAGAGTGAAGCTCGTAGTCACGTTGAGCGGCAACGTGCAGCAGTACTCGAAGAGTGGTCATCTTCGGGGTGGGGGAGAAGGGCTGGAAAAAGTCAACCTATTCTCGCTGACTGAAGCCTCGAGCAACGTAACGAGCTTTGAAAACAGGCGGCGAACCTGGCCGCCGCTTCACCCTGAAAATCCACATGCCACTGACGATGTTCGCCCCAGGAGGGGGAACGTCGTCGACGTAGATGCAAGTGGCCTTCCAGGATGCCATCTCTGCGTCCATGGTTGTCTGCCGCTGAGAGGAGTACTCACGCGCGATCGCCTCAGCGTAAGAGCGCGGGATAGGGATGTCTAGTGCATCCGAGTCTCCCTTAGGGGCAAGTAGCATGGCCACGAGATGAGGCGTAGCGGCTGCACGACACTCAAGATCCTCCTGTCTGTCCTCAAGGACGTCCGTGCCAAGAGCACAGTCACCCCCGACGGACGGAGGACAGACAGGCTCAGACTCATAACAAGACTGGCAGCGTAGTCTAAACGATAGGCAGTAGCAAAGTCAACAAGCTCAGCGACCAAAGCAGACGCAGCAGCAGACTCAAACGACGGGCCAGTGACAACAGTGGTTAACAGACGCGTGACAGTAGGGTGAGCAGCACGAAACCGGTAAGACTTAGGGTCTGGAACGTCAGGCAAAGAAAATGTAGGAGGAGACGGCAGAGAAACAAGCTGAGGAACAAAACAAAGACGACGGACGACAAGGTGCGCGCCGGAGACAGGCGGCGAACGCGGACGCGGGACACGACGAGCGGAACGATCAGAACGAACAGGCGAGACAGGTCGCGACGCATGCTCGCGACGCTCAGTAAGACCCCCTGACTGCTCAGTGTAAGGAGTAGGAGCAGACAACGGTGAGCCAGGCAGCAACTGAAGACCAGTACAAGACGGAAGACTAAGAACTTGGCGAAGCACAAAAGCAGGCGGCGGCTGAAACGACGGAAACGGCGGAGCGAAGAACAGTCGCGGTTGTGCAGTGCCGCCAGCACAAGGGAAAGCATTCCCATGGAGATGAGCAACTTGATTCAGCTTGAGGGCCTGTCACTGGAACCACCTTCCTCTCCCTGTCCCCCCCAGTCCAAACCATACTCTCTTGCAACTCTCCACTCACATGTTCTTTCAATGCTTCATGGATGCATGTATGCATATGCTCTCACATTCCCCATGCCGTCTCATTCCTTGTGCCCTCCACACCTCACATGCACGCTCTCTCCTATCCCCTGCTCTCACATCTGTACCTTTCCATTCCAATTGTTGGCCACTGTAACCTCAAGAATCACCTTGACTATAGCAAGTTGAATGGTATGGACTCTGACTGTGCCCATCACAGGGACCTGGGTCACAACAAGCTGGGAGGCGTCTTCCCTGAAGCTCTGAGTACCCTCACCAACCTGCTCCACCTGTCAGTCGCTTGCCTCCTCCCACTCCTTCCCGGCCTCACACCACAACTGTGTATCACTCATTTTCCTGCGCACATGTCTGCGTAGAGAGAATCAATCGCTTCGCACTGTTTTGGCTCTTCCTTTCACTCAAACAAGAGTGTTTTTCTCTACGGCAACCAGCTCTCAGGCTCCATCCCTGCTGACATTGGCAACACCGCTGCTCTAGAGAAGCTGTGAGCACCGCACCGCACCACACTGCGCTGCAATGTTCTCCCTTCCTCCATTCCCCATTCCCTCCTTTCCCCCCTCATTCTCTCCTCCCCCCACAATTTACCTTCTCCATTTCTGGTTCAATGCACTGCATCCATTTGCACCGCACCTCACCCAGGAGGCTTTCCAACAACGCCATATCTGGCCCGCTCCCCGCCGCCCTGGGGAACCTCGTCAACTTAGAAAGCCTGTGAGCTATACGATCCAGCCAATGTGCTGGATGTGCTGCACTGTGAGGGAAAGAGTGCGATGTGCAGCGCAACGCCACTGGTGTGCTGCAATATGGGAGTGGCAGGTATGCTCTGTGGCTTGTGAGGGATTCAGGTCCACTGAGGCTGATGCGGTAGAAGCTGCTGTCTCCTGCCTGCTGTGCCCAAGGGTGGACGCACACTTCGTCTTTCCCTTGGAGGCCCCATACCTCCTGGCCTGGGCAGACTTGAGTGGCCCCATACCTGCTGGCCTGGGCAGACTTGTCAACCTGACGTCCCTGTGAGTAGTAGCACAACCTGTCCCTTCCCCATCCACTACAAGCCTAGATGTGACTGCTTTCCTGCCAATGCTCTTACAGCTTCCATATTTCGTGATTGGGTCCCATTAGTACATCCCGTATCCTTCTATTCTTGCCCCCCAAATCGAATCATTGGCACCATAGTGGTGTTGACAGGCCTCCCTTCTGGCACCACAGTGGCACATACTGCAATGTCTGTTCTTGCCGCACACATGTATAGTTAGTATGGTTCTTCGATGAACAAACCTGTCCCTGATTTGCTCCAATTTGACACTGCATGTGGTATATGACCAACGTACAGAATGATTTCGGAGTGGCATAATAATTGAACATACATGATTGTTGTAATATCTTTTCCTCTGGGGTATTATGTCCCACATGTACTCCACTGCTCAAAGGACACTTGCAATTTTCATGGCGTTTATGGATACAATACATGGCAATTTTCTATTTACACATATTCTTGGTTGACATGAAGCTGTATCCGATCTTGTCTCTACGGGGTAGAAGCTTTGCTGACAGAATGGTACAATAGAATCTCTGCCAACAGGGGATTTACCTTCAGCACGTTGTTGTGATCAGGAAATGTATGTTCATTCATAGGTTGATAGCCTGGGTGTACGTTGCTGCAAGGTTTACTCAGGTACTTGTTGTTCAGGTACTTGTTGTTCAGGTACTTGTTGTTCAGGTACTTGTTGTTCAGGTACTTTGATTTACCTACTCCAGCAGGGTTTCTCCTCACAGAGAGGAATCGTATTCCTGAAATTTGAACACTTGTGTATTCTTTCCTCCCTTCTCCCATTCTTGTCCCTCCCCACGCGCCCCCAGGGGCGTCTCAGGCACGCGGCTGACCTGCCCTGCAGGGGGCAGCAAGTGTGTGGTGCAGCAGAGAAACACCACCAGGTTCTGCCGTCTCTGCTTCTCTTTCTGCTCCTCCTGCACACCCCGTACATGTAAGTCCCCTTCAACAGCACACGCACGCACGCACGCACGCACGCACACACAAGAGCGATGCCACAATGACTTTAAATGAAACCTTCCATAAACAGCTAGTTTTTCGGAATAGGTTTGTCTTGCGGAATATGATTTAACTACGCCCATTCTATATGTGTGCCGTTATTCCAGTGTCAGCAGCACCCACAGAAGCACTAGCATCAATTGAAGCACCAGCATCAACTGAAGCACGAGCATCAACTGCAGCGCCAGCATCAACTGCAGCGCCAGCATCAACTGCAGCGCCAGCATCAACTGCAGCGCCAGCATCAACTGCAGCGCCAGCATCAACTGCAGCGCCAGCATCAACTGCAGCGCCAGCATCAACTGAAGCACGAGCATCAACTGAAGCACGAGCATCAACTGCAGCGCCAGCATCAACTGCAGCGCCAGCATCAACTTCAGTGCCAGCATCAACTGAAGCACGAGCATCAACTGCAGCGCCAGCATCAACTGAAGCGCCAGCATCAACTGCAGCGCCAGCATCAACTGCAGCGCCAGCATCAACTGCAGCCCAAGTGTTGGCTGCAGCTGCAGCATCTAAGGCCCCATCAGCAACTGCCCCTTGCATGCTTATTTCTGCTGCCATCAACTTATCTGGAGTTGCTGCTGTTGCCACCATCTCGCTCCTGATGTTTGGAGTGTGAAGCGAACAGATTTCATGTCTGTATTGACTGTTGTGGGCTGTTGGCTTTGTGTGATGGGATCCAATTCAATCCAAGTCTGAAATAGCATGCCCAGGTTTTTCTTCACCTGTATGTGCTGTAGCTTCCTCAGAAAACTCAATAATTGGTGTGGCCAATTCTAGATATGATAGAAAGTATTTGGGGTTTGTGGCTACCATACACGCATCGTAACTGGATATATTGTGAGTCAGCTGTGTACAATTCAGTGTAAACTTATGCATGACAGTGGCCTGCGTGGAGTCTGGGTTTGTGTTACGAGTGCAATTGAGTGAACGAACGAGAATTGCACTATCGAAGCAAAAGTACAATGAGCGAAGGCATGAGCGAAGGATTATATAGCGAAACAATAGTGGTAACGGTAATGGACTGTGGTTGTCGCGCGTCGAGCCTGGGACTGAGGTTGGGAAAGTGTCGAAGCGTAGGCCCGGAGCGCGGGTTACCAGCCGAGCCGTGAGGTCGGGATGCGATGTGCGAAAAAGGGCGGGATGATGAATGATGCGATGGTCGCGAGTGGTAACGGTGCTGACTGAGGTGCTACAGTGACGTACGCGCTGGGCAGGGACGCGAAGTAAGGAAAAGGGAATTTCCTTACACTACCCCCCTCCCCAAGGAGGCCCCTCTTACGAGAGCGCATGGACGTCGCGGAAATTTCGGCTTCGCAGATACTCGGTGAAGACAGGGTGGTTCTCAATTTTATCCAGGGGGACCCAGTTGTCTTCTGTGGGCGTTCGGTCCTTCCAGCGAATTAGGAACTCGATCCTTCGGGCTCCCCGAGGGTCGCGGACTCGGTGGCTGAGGATTTTTTCAGGGGTGATGAGTGGTTCGGTTGGGGGACGTGTCATGCTGGCTGGGCGATTTCGTGGCAGTTGGCTCGTGGATGGGATGTAAGGGCGAAGTAGGCTGACGTGGAATGACGGGCTGACGTACCAGTCAGCAGGGAGGAGGAGGTGGGCGGTGACGGGTGTGATCATGTGGCTGATGCGAAATGGCCCACAATATCGGGGGCAAAGTTTTGGAGTGATGGGCAGGCGAAGGTTCTGAGTGTCGAGTAAAACGAGGTCGTCGGGCTGATAAGTAACGGGTCTGCGATGTCGATCGGCGTTGCGTTTAGCGATGATGTTTGATTTTTTGATTGCTTCTGCTGCCCTGGTCCGTGCTGCTTGCAGAATCTCGGCGAACTGTTGTGCTCGTGGGACGGGGTTGTCGGGATTCGGTGTCATGGGTACTGTTGGGTCCTGTCCGTAATTTAAATAAAACGGCGACTGTTGCGTCGTGGCTGATGGTGCGTTATTGTATGCGAACTCGATGAGTGGCAGCTGCTGTTCCCACGTATTCGGGTCGTCGCACGTGGCTCGTATCAGCTGCTCCATGGTCTGATTTGTCCGTTCCGTCTGTCCGTCGGTTTCGGGGTGATAGGATGAACTGAACTGTAAGCGCGTGCCGAACTGCTGCCACAGGTTCCGCCAGAAGTTGCTGGTAAATTTCGTGTCCCTGTCGCTGATGATCGACGCGGGTATCCCGTGCGGTCGTACGACGGTGGAGATGAAGAGTCGGGCGGTTTCTTCGGCTGTGATGGATTTCCTGCATGCTGCGAAATGAGCCATTTTCGTTAGTCGATCAATGACAACCAGGATCGCGTCATTCCCACTCGCCCCAGCTGGTAACCCTGTGACGAAGTCCATCGTCACCTGCTGCCAAGCACGCTCTGGAGGCGGGATGGGTTGTAATTGTCCCGCTGGTCGCTTCCTGCTTGACTTCATGAGCTGGCAAGTGGGACACGATGCCACGTGTCGTTGCACATCGGTCAACATTTCTGGCCAGTAGTAGTACCGCTGCAGCTGCTGCCGTGTTTTTTCTACCCCGAAATGTCCCGAGGTAACTCCGTCGTGTGCTTCCTGTAACAGTAGTTCCCGCAGTAGTGTGTATCCCGGTACCCAGATGCGGTCGGTTCCAGTTTTTACGTAATAGACTCCTTTTGCCGCTGCGAATTGCTGTGAGTTGCCTCCTGTAAAGAACGGGTCTGTTTGATATCCGTGGGTAAATAGGCCTGTCAGCAGTGGGCTGGTCTGGGCGAGTAGTATTGCGTGAATCTGGGCAGTGGGGCGGGTCAGTGCGTCGGCGATATTCGATGCTCCTTTTTTGTATGTGACCGTATAGTGAAAATTCGACTCGAGGAAATCGAGCCATCGAATCTGTCGTGGGTTGAGGTGGGGCTGTGCGCGGAGGTACTGTAGAGATCGGTGGTCTGTCCGTACTGTCACGTCTGCGCCGGTCAAGTAGCAGCGCCAAACTTTGAATGCATGCACGATCGCGAGCATTTCGCGGTCGTGTATCGGGTAATTTCGCTCAGGCGGATGTAGTTTGCGTGATTCGTAGGCGATGGGTTGGAGGCCGTTGCCGAAGTCCTGTAACAGTACAGCTCCGATGGCGATGTCACTTGCGTCGGTAACCACTTCGAAAGGGCGGTGGGGATCAGCGATGCGTAGGACGGGTGGTGAACAGAGAACGTTTTTTAGGGCAGAGAAGGCAGCATGCTCTTTCTCCCCCCACGTAAAAGCGACCCCCTTACGCAGTAAATCAGTTAGTGGGGCTGTTAAACGTGCCATGTCGGGCACGAACCGTCGAACGTAATTAACAAACCCTAAAAAACTCTGCAGTTCCGTGATGTTCGTCGGGGGGCGCCACGCTTTTACCGTGTCCAGATTCTTTGGGTCAATCTCAACCCCAGCCTCTGAAATGACGTGACCTAAAAACTCTAGCCTATCCCTAAAAAACTCGCACTTGGAGCCCTTGGTGAGCAGCCGATGTTCCTCTAAAACCTTAAAAAATGCTTCAAGATCTGCTAAGTGTTGCTGCTTATCCCGACTGTAAACGAGGATATCGTCGAGGTAAACGATCACGCATTTATCTAAAAGTGGCCTAAATGCCTCGTTCATGGTCATCTGAAAAGTCGCAGGCGCGTTCGTCAACCCGAAGGGCATTACTGTATACTCGAATGACCCGTACCTAGTCCTAAATGTTGTTTTTGCGCAGTCCGATGGTTCGACCCGAATCTGATGGTAACCTCCCCGTAAATCTATTTTCGAAAAGACACGTGCTGTTCATAGTTGGTCAATCAGTTCGTCGGCGCGGGGGATGGGGTATCGCGATTTGACTGTTACCTTGTTAAGCGCTCGGTAGTCGATGCACATGCGAAAACCTCCGTCCTTTTTCGGTGTGAACAGTATGGGTGCGGCGAACGGTGACGAGCTCGGTCGAATAAACTGCTTTTCTAACAGGTAATCTAACTGCTTCCTTAACTCGTCGAGCTCGGGCTGTGTCAGTCGAAATTGCCGCTGTATGGTTGGCTGTGCCCCCGGTTCTAACTCGATCCTATGGTCGTGCGCTCGCTGAGGTGGCAGTCCCAGTGGTAAATCATCCGGAAATATCCCCGGGAACCGTTTCAGTAGTGCCTGTAATTCGGTCGGTACGACTGCTAGTAGTTTCTCTAAATCACTCTGCTGCTCGTTTTTTTCTACCACTGCGATATCCACTGCGTACACGTCAGCTCCAGCAGCGACAGCCCGTTTCATCGTGATGGCGTTGACCTGGACTGTCGAAGATTCGGGTGGCCGCCAGCGAGGTAGGACGACCCAGTTACCACTACTTCGCACTGTGCAGCTCCCCGTCGTCTAGTCGATCCGTGGGTTGTACCGTCGCAGCCAATCACGTCCCAGTAAAATGTCGTGCCCATCCAGCGTCGTTGCGAGCATTTCCTGTGTAAACCCGAAGTTTCCCCCGCAGCGGACTTTTACTCGCTCCACTTTTTCTCGTATGGCCAATGGCGTGCCGTCGACTAAACGTGCATCTATCTCAGGTAAACATCGGTTAAGTGTTAACTGTAATTTCCGTGCGGTTGCAGTATTAACTAAGCTATGACTTGCTCCTCCGTCAATGAAGATTTTCACTGCTGCTCCCTGTATTTTCCCGTAGATCGGTACCGGGCAATCCGTCGCTGTACCCTCCTTATTCATCCGAGCCCGATCGATGGCGTGAATCGGTACTGTGACTCGGTGAGGGTCGGTGTGGTTGGGCGAGCAGGCAGTCTCGTCAGTAGTTGGCCCAACTTCTACTGACTGCTGGCGTTTCCCTGCCTCTGAGACTCCCTCCCCTGCTCTGCTCCTCGACGCCTCAGCTCCTCTGGACATTCGCTCTTGCGATGGCCCGGCCGGTTGCAAGCAAAGCAGCGCCCTCTAAATGGCGTGGCAGCTGCATTCGTTGCGACGGCATGTACAGTGGCGTGCTCGATCGGTCCCCGAGGGCGATGTCCGAAATAGGACCCCGGTCTCGGTCGGCGTAGGATATCGATTTTCTCGGCGAGCGCGAGGATTTCGTTGAAATTCGATAGCCCGCGTAGCATTATCTCGTGCGATATGTCCGGCTTCAGCCCTCCGACGTAACGGTCCACCCGCTCCGCCTCGTGCATGTAGCCGACCTGTTCGCAAAGTGCGAGAAAACCGCTGGTGTAGTCTTGAACCGACCCGAGCTGGCGCCAAGTGCGCAGTTTCTGACGCGCCGAAATCGAAGCCGCGATCGGCTCAAAACGCGCCCGAAGCCCTGCGCACCACGCATCCCACGTGATGTATTGGGCTGTTTCGCAGAACGAACTCCAGGTGACAGCTGGACCCGAGGGCCCTTCCTCGTGCGACGGTGGCTCGTAGGCGCGTGGCGACGTCACGATGACTCGCCACCAGTCCATGGCGGGGCCCCTGAGTAGTGAAACCGCATACCGAATCTTGGCGGCGTCCGCCTCGACGTAGTTGGCGTCAAAAAACACATTCATCGTGAAGACCCACGATTGAACTGTCGGGCCGCCGCGTTGGCTTGGGTCGAAGCAGGGCGGGCGTTGCGGCTTGAGTGGCATTGGGGCCATCATGGCGTTTTCACCACTTGTCGCCGCAAACTCCACGTGCCGACGGGCTTCTCGGGGCTCCCGTGGGCTTAGTATGCTCCTGTTCCCTCCCATGCCGGGCATCGGTTGGGCTGCGCCGTCACTGGCTGCGCCTGAGCGCTGTCCCGTGCTGTTGTGTTGCGTTGGTGTGCCGGATGAGATGACAATCGGCTCCTCCGAATGTACAGAAACATTGGTTGGTGCGTGGGATGTCGTCGGAACATTCACCGTTGACTGTTGACGGGCGGAGTCACGTTCCGCCGTGAGCGTCGCGATTTCAAGCGCCGAATCCTCCAATTGTCGCACGAGACGATCGAGTTGCTCCTGCGTCAACGTGGCGAGATTGAGGTCGGCCATGGCGGGGGTGTCGGGCAAGCTCAGCGAGAGCCTCGGTCGTGGCCGTGCGTGCTTGCGAGAGAGCACTACGAGCGGCGGTGCTGTGTCGCTGAGAGACGTCTACCCCCCCCAAAAATTGAGATAGTGGGAAGCGAAGGTGTGGATGCGGTCCGAGATGAGATCGTAGGCTCTGAATACCAAGTGTTACGAGTGCAATTGAGTGAACGAACGAGAATTGCACTATCGAAGCAAAAGTACAATGAGCGAAGGCATGAGCGAAGGATTATATAGCGAAACAATAGTGGTAACGGTAATGGACTGTGGTTGTCGCGCGTCGAGCCTGGGACTGAGGTTGGGAAAGTGTCGAAGCGTAGGCCCGGAGCGCGGGTTACCAGCCGAGCCGTGAGGTCGGGATGCGATGTGCGAAAAAGGGCGGGATGATGAATGATGCGATGGTCGCGAGTGGTAACGGTGCTGACTGAGGTGCTACAGTGACGTACGCGCTGGGCAGGGACGCGAAGTAAGGAAAAGGGAATTTCCTTACAGTTTGTGATTTCTAGCAAGTTTTAGGTCATTATTGGTTACACCTTCTAAAAGGCTAATTCTAGCGTATACATTATTTGTGGTGGAGAACCTCACAAATTTTGGTGGGTCATGGATATCTCTTGGTGGACAACACTTTTTAGAAACTTTCTTGATCCTAGCATGGCTAATGGCCTCCCAAGATACCGTATTTAGACTGAGGTGGTCCTAAGAGTCGATTGTGAACATTCAGTGTCAAGGTCGAATAGTTATTTCCACTCACCCTCGCACTCAGCCACACTCACGCTCGCACACCAACGCACCCTGCCACACACACAGCCACACACTTAGCCACGCAATTGCCCTCGCACTCACCCTTGCTCTCACCATTTTCTGGCCAAAAAAAAGTACCAAGCGGAAGAAGGGGTTGCATTGAAAGAAGCAAGAAAGAAATACAAGAAAGCACGCAATCAAGGAAGTACGCCACCGACAGGGGTTACACTAGAGTACAATCTAGCTATATATATAAAACATGTATATTTGAAACACCCAAACAAACGGCCTCAGCATAGACTAGTGTAGTCAACACCTTTTGAAGGGGTACATCTGGCAGAGAGCAATGGGAGCAGGCGACTACGTGTCACCTGGAGAGCGGGTGCTGTTGCTGCAACAAGCAGCGGCACAGCAGGGCTCTCAATGGCAGCACTTGTGGGTGCCAGTAGACGGAAGCGACTGCAGGCACGGGCAGCTGGCATGGGCAGCTGGAACAGGTGGCGGCAGAGAGAGGAGGAGGCAGCTAACACTGCAAATGCACTCCCGCCACCCCTTTAACCTCCCCCCCACAGTGGCAAGCGCAGCAGGTGCAGGTGCAAAGGTGGCTGACGCTGCATGCGCGAGGAGGAAACAGAGGGGTGGGGAGGTGGGCTAAGGGGGCTTGAGCACCCCCTCAACCTTGGCCGCCAATCCTGCCACCTCCCGCCCACAGCGTCTGTCGTGGATGGGTCGATGCAGGGCCGCGGCAGTCGCTGCTGGCGCCTGGAGCTGGCGCTGGTGGGTGTCACTGGCGTTGGCGCTAGCACTGGCACTAACTCTGGCACCGGTGCTGGCCCTGGTACTGGCACAGGCACTGGCATTGGCGCTGGCACTGGCTATGGCACTGGCGCTACTCCAGAAGGTGCTGCAGTAGCGGTGTCGGTCAACGGACGATGAGGCAGCGCGACGGGACAGCCAACAGGCAGGTGACGTGGCAGCTCATCGGGGCAAGCTTCCGGGCAGTGCGCCGGAGCAGCAGGACGGGCAGGCAACAGGCCAATAGGGCTCGCCATCATGGTCGTCTCGACAGTCGCAGCGACAGGTACAGCGAGCGAGCAACACGTCGTCAGGAGGGGCGCCACGATGGCTGATAAAAAATAGGCCTCTGGACGTATGGCCTCCCTCCCAACCACCCTTGGGGGGCTTGACATGGCTGACCCGGCCACAGAAGGCTCCTTATGTTGCCTCACCCCACCTCAATACTAACAGCAGCAAGCCTCCTTGCCAACCTCCTGGAACGCCCACAGGCTTCCATGACTCTCCTCCTCGCCCATCTCCAGCCGCAGGCCCTTGGCCGAGCCTCATAACAGCACAGCCTTGCTGCTGTTTAGGTCGGTTTACCCTCAGGAGTCATCGTATGTCATACGTGAATCAGAAGCGACGTTCAGGATGTAGAGAAGTACAAGAAAATGATGCACCATAGCTGGATACCTCGCCAGAGACCTCCTTGAAGGGACTGAGGAGAATTGGCATCCACCACCACCTCCACGACAGGCGCTGTTGACCAACCCGTCACAACACACGCTCAGTGGAAAGAAAACCCATGGGCTGCCACTGGAGCAGCCCAATCCAACCGCACCGTTCGTCTGTTCGCAAGAGGTTGGTGGGTTTCATTGCCCCTCCCCGCCCCTGTCACTACTGCCAGTGCTGCCGCAGCCGCCGCCGCCGTCGCAGCAGCAGCTGCAGTAGTGGTAGTAGCAACAAGCGCCACAGCTGCAGCCACTGCCGCCACCACCACAGCAACAGTCACAGCCCACAGCAACGCCTCTCTCGCGAGCCTTGGAAGGGCAGGGACCCTTTTCATCCCAGTCCCTGCGCGTGCCGCTAGTAGCACGCGTGTTCCAGCTTGCAGCAAAGCACATGCTTAAGCACAGGCGTGCATATGACGATGCACGCTTAGCTCTGGATACGTTTGGGCTGGCGGCGCTGGGAGGGGACGGAGGCGGGGTGGGAGGGGTGCAGGCGGGGGCGTTTGGAGCGGTTGGAGTGAGTGTGGATGGGTTGGTGGATGTGCTGGCGGAGGGGAATTCGGGGGTGGAGGAGCCTGTGTACGTGGGGCAGGCATGCCGGCTGGTGTTCCGAGGACAGGCTCCGCATGAGCAGCGGTGAGAGTGCTGCTGGGAGGGGTTTGAGGCTTGATGGGTGGCTGTGTGGCAGCAGTGTGGGCACTGGGAAGTCTGATTTCTGACTGCTCCCCTTCCCCGTCCCTCCTCCCCGTCCCTCCTCCACTCCCCATACGCTCACAGTGACTTCCCCTTACCGCCCCACCCGTATCTACCTCCCCCACCTCCCCAGCCCCACGGATCAGGAGGTGTTGCTGCACGAGGTGGGGCGGCAGCGGTCAGGGCACCCCCTTGCTCCTCCCCGTCCCACGCCCTCACCCACCGTACGCTCGTAACACCTCCCCCTCCCGCACCATATCCCCTTTTCCCCCCCTCCCAGCCCCACGGACCAGGAGGTGCTGCTGCACGAGGTGGTGTGGCAGCGGTTGGGGCACCTGTCAGGGGTGGTCATGTCTCCCCCTTCCCCTTCCGCACCACCTGCGCCACCCCACCCATCTTCCCAACCACATCACCTTCCCCTCCCACATCAGCCCCACGGATCAGGAGGTGTTGCTGTGCGAGGTGGTGCGGCAGCGGTCAGGGCACCTGTCAGGGGCGGTCATGTCTCCCCCTGACTGCAATGCACCATCCCCCCCCACCACCCCCCCTTCCCTCCCCCCCAACCACCCCCCCTTCCCTCTCCCCCACCCGTATCTCCCACACCAGCCCCACGGACCAGGAGGTGCTGCTGCACGAGGTGGTGCGGCAGCGGTCAGGGCACCTGCCAGAAACTCTCTTTCTCTGCCCTTCCCTGCCCACACTCGCGCCCGTCCACACCTTTTCTTGCCCCCCCTCTCCCCTCCCCCCAGCCCCACGGACCAGGAGGTGCTGCTGCACGAGGTGGTGCGGCAGCGGTCGGGGCATCTGTCAGGGGCGGTCATTCTGCTGCACGCCAAGGCACACGACCTGTACCGCGGCATCCACGCCCAGCGCATGATGGCTCAGGTGGGGAGAGTGGGGGAGATGCTGGGACGCATGGTAGGGTGGGTAGTGAGGGGATGTGGGATGGGATGTGGGGGATGGGACGAGGGTAGCCAAGGCACACGACCTGTACCGTGGCATTCACGCCCAGCGCATGATGGCTCAGGTGGGGAGGGAGAGAGGGCTTTGGTGGGTGGGTGGTGGGTGGCGGGAGGGGGGGGGGGTGTTGGGGGAGATGTCTGGCACGAGGGCGGCCAAGGAACACGACCTGTACCATGGCATCCACGTCCAGCGCATGATGGCACAGGTAGGGAAGGGAGAGGGGGCGCGTGGTTGGGTTGGGTGGGCAGTGGGCAGTGGGGCTGGGGGTGAGTGAGGGTTTGGACGAGGGCAGCCAAGGTACACGACCTGTACCGCGGCATGCACCTGCATTCACGTCCTGTGCATGGCATTCACTGAGATGCATTAACGAGGGTATCCAGGCATATGATGGCATAGTGAGAAGGGGTGTGGGGAGAGAGGGGGGGTGGACGAGGCATGGTTGGGTGGGCGGTGGGCAGTGGGACGGGGAGCGAGGGTTGGGCTGGGGGTTGGTGAAGGGGTGGTGGGACAGGAGCAGCCAAGACACAACTGTGCCGTGACGTCTATGTTTTTAAGTCGACTCAAAAACTTAGACATCCATGCATGGCGCATGGTGGCACAGGTGGGGGGGAGGGGGGAAAGTGTGTGGGGGGGGTGGGGGGAGGGAGAAGGGATTGTGCAACGGGAGGGCATGGTTGGGTTTCGGGCTTGGGAAAGGGGAGGGGAAGTGGCTCAAAGCTGCATCACCATCCCAACACCAATCTGCTGACGCCATATCACCCTTCAATAGAGCTCCAAGTAATAGCTGCTGCCATGGGGCTCCCATGTAGTAGACACCAATGTCATGGGGCTCTTCAAGTAGTAGTACCTCTGCATGCACAAGTACTTTGGCGCCAAGCTCCCTCCTGCCTGTTTTGTTTGAGGTTGTATTTGAGAATTCTCAAAATCAACCTCCTGCCATACCGTATTCTCACCCGTTTCTCGGCCTTTTGCCGTCTCTCTTCCCTCCCTCCTCCTGCCCACCAGGTGTCATGTGGCATGGCACGCCAGTACCTGTGCATGCACGACTACCCCAACGCCAAGCTGCTGCTGCCATGTACACCACATCCTCACCCTTTCTTCGGGCTCTTGCCCTCTCCCCCGTCCCCCTCCTTCCCCCCTCCCCGTTCCCCTCTCCCCGCCCCCCCCCCCCCCCCCCCCCCCCCCCTCCCCGCTCCCCCCTTCCCCCTCCCTGCAGGTATCATGTGACATGGCACGCCGGTACCTGTGCATGCACGACTACCCCAACGCCAAGCTACAGCCACACTGCATCCTCACCCCTTTGTCGCCTGTCCTCTCGCCCCTTCCCAACCCCCCATCTGCAGGTATCATGTGACATGGCACGCGAGTACCTGTGCATGCACGACTACCCCAACGCCAAGCTGCTGCTAGGCACCATAGCACAGCTCTACCGCCGCGACTCCTTCCCCTCGCTCCTCGCCTTCTGCCTGCTCAACCTCCGCTCCTGCGCGCGCCACCTCTCCCTCCTCCCGGATTTCTTACTCTATTCTCTTGAGCTCTGCACTCTCCCCGCGCTCCCCTCCCTGCCGCCCTCTTCTGCTTCCCCCTCTGCGGTTGCGCTTCCTGCTGCGTCTGCGTCCCTGCCCCCGTCTAGCTGGATGGATTTGGGGGCGGGGGAAGGGGGAGGCGGAGCAGGGGGCGTGGGGGATGTGTACGAGGGGGGTGTGGGGGGGAGTGTGGCAGTGGGGGGGAGAGTGGGGGAGAGGGAGAAACGTGCAGTTGCACAGGAGCTTCTGCGGGTGCTGAGAGGAGGGCGCATGGACGGGGGCAGCGAGGGGGACGAGGGGGTGAGGCGAGCGAGCGAAGGCGGAGGAAGCGGGTTCACTAGAGCGTCAGCCTCATGGAAAGGAGGAGGGGAAGGCGGAGGGGACGACAGCGCGAGCAGCTGGGCCAGCAGCGTTACAGGAGCATCTGCAGGAGAGGAGGAATCAGCGAAAACAGCAGCAGCAGCAGCAGCAGCAGCAGCAGCAGCAGCAGCAGCAGCAGCAGCAGCAGCAGCAGCAGCAGCAGCAGCAGCAGCCCTGAGAGTGGGGCCCACCCACCCGTTCCTCCTCTTCACACAGGACCTACCCCACCTGCGTGCAGTCCTCTCTGCTACTGCCGCTTTCCCCCCTCGCCCCACGCACCCCCCCTCGCCCCCGCGTATGGGCCAGCCGCTGCAGGTGTGCGTGTCCCTCCTCACTCACTTCCCCACCCACCTACGCCTGCAGCGCGTGCTGGTGCGGTTCAGCCAATCCTGCTGCGACACGTGGATTCCGAGCAGTGGGGAGGGGGAGGAGAGGGCGGGGGATGGGGGGAAGGAGGGGGAAGGGAAGGAGGAGGGGAAAGAGGGTGATGTGGGAGGGCTGGTGCTGTAGCCTGGTGTGTGGAAGCGACTCTCCTTGTCCGTCACTCCAGGTGATCATGCTCATGCTCATGCTGATGCTGATGCTGATGATGCTGATGATGTTGATGCCACTGCTGATATGATTCTCATGGCGATGGTGGTGGTGGTGGTGGTGGTGGTGGTGGTGGTGGTGGTGGTGGTGGTGGTGGCTGTGGTGACGGCGGTGTTGATGGCGGTTACCCGCACATGGATGAGTGGCAGGAGTGAGTAGTAGTCAGCTAGAGATGGATTCAGAAGTGTGCGTCGAGTAGCACTTGTATCCTCCCTCCCCCCTGTCATTTCTTCTCTCCTCTACCCTGCTTTTTCCGCCGCTCTTCTCCCTTTATCTTGTCTTTTCTTGTCTCCTCTCCTCTCCTCTCCTCTCCTCTCCTCTCCTCTCCTCTCCTCTCCTCTCTCCTCTCCTCTCATCTCCTCTCCTCTCCTCTCCTCTCCTCTCCTCTCCTCTCTCCTCTCCTCTCCTCTCCTCTCCTCTTCTCCCCCTCATCCACCCTCACACTACCCACCCCCTCCCTCCATCCCCTTCCCTCCCTCGCCCAGCATGCAGCGGGCTACTCGAGTGTCTGCAGGTACAGGCGCACATCACCCCACACACCATCCTCTCCCTCTTCTCATCTCTTCCTCTGCTCATCCAACCGCCTACCTACCTCTTCTGCCCCCCTCCACCTTTCCCTCCCTCTCTCCCTCGCCCAGCATGCAGCGGGCTACTCGAGTGTCTACAGGTGCAGGCGCACATCACACCATGCGCCATCCTCTCCTGCCCCATCGACAGCCCGCAAGCCGCAGGCCTCGTGCTCTTCTGGGTCTTCGAAGCCCCGTCTCCCTCACCCTTCACTGACTCATCCCTCTCTGTGCTAGGCCACAAGGCCGTAGAGATAGCCGACGAGGCTCCTCTAGCGGATGTGACTGTAGAGTGTGCGGCAGACGGGGGGTTGGTAGGGGAGGCGTTGCCTGTGCGTGTGTGGGTGCGGTCTTTATGGCACGCGCTGTGGTCTGCGTCGCTGTCTCTTGTGCTGTCTGCTGCTGCTGCCGCCGCTGGCGCTGCTGGTGGTACTGCTGCCGCCGGTGCTGGTGGTGGTGCCTCTGGGTCTACCTCTACTTCCCCTCTGGCAGCATCGTCCCCTCCTGCCTCTCCCGCTGCTTGGCCCTCCGCCCATGCACCCTCCCACAACCCCTCTTCCACCACCACCACAAGCACTAGCACCAGCAACACCACTACCAGCAGCAGCGGCACCACGAGCACCACCGGCAGCAGCAGCACAGGCAAGGAAGGCCCAGGCGTTTCCTCTCACAGCATCCCCTCCATCACCCATCTGCCTGCCTTCGAACCCCCTCCTCTCCCGGGGTATCTGCCCATCCCACCTGCTGGCACGAGTGCAGGGGACGCGTTTGCAGTTCTCGGGGAAGGCACTGCGGGGAGAGACGAGGGGGGGGAGACGGAAGTGCATGGTACTGCTGTCCCCGCGGAGATTCTATTGCCGTGCGGGGAGCAGGGGGGGGCGGCGGGGCAGGGGCCGGGGTTGGGAGATGGGGAGACAAGAGGGGGAGTGGGAGAGGAGGATGAAGGAGGGAATCGGAGCGAGAGAAGAGAGAGCAGCGAGCAGCAGCAGCAGCAGCAGCAGCAGCAGCTGGTGGCATTGAGAGGAGACATAAGAGTGCCTATGGTGGAACCCCATGGGTCATGGAGCACAGTGGTGTTTGTCCGATGGAAGGCCGCTATTCCCCTTAGCTTCATCGCCACTCTCTCGTACTCCTCCTCCCCTCCTGCTCCGGCTGCTGCTGCTGCTGCTGCCACTCCAGCCACGCAGGCTCAGGGGAGTGTGAGAGAGGAGGCTGCTGCTGCTGTTCCTGCCAATGCCACTGCTGGTGGGGATGCAGGTGAAGCAGAGGAATGTGCAAGTGAAGGAGCCACAGCAGACTCAGCTGCTGCAGCAGCAGCAGCAGGAGGAGGAGGAACAGCAGCAGGGGGAGGAACAGCAGCAGGCACAGGAGCAGCGGAAGGTGTGGTGAGCAGTGAGAACGCAGTGAGCAGCAGCAGCGTGACCACCAAGGCACCATTCCAGGTGTCCAGATCACAGGACCTGCGCTGTCAAGAAGCCCTCTCCGTGCTCCATCGCTACATCGGCCCCTTTCGAAAAGACTCCCTCATCCCCATCTTCCACTCACCACCTGCTGCCTCCACCCCAACCACCACCTCCGCTGCCTCTACACCCACCACCCCGCTTCCCCCCTCCACGCCCTCGTCTCTCTCTGCTCTCACAGCAGGAGCAGGAGCAGGGGTGGCGCCGGCAGCAGCTGTGGCGGTGCATGAGACGTGTGTGGTGGCGGTGGTGGTGCGAAACACTGCGTGCACGGCGCTGCGGCTGCTGGCGGTGCGGGTGCCGCAGCAGCAGGGGGATGACGCCGCGTGCCTTGTCCGACCAGTGTCCATGCGTGCCCGTGCGTCTGCTGCTCTTGCTGCCGCTGCTGGTGCTGTTTCGCACGCAGTCGAGAGGAGAGATGGTGACAGTGGCAGTGCAGGTGCGGAGGGCAGTGTGGAAGGGGAAGGCGACGTGCCAATGCCATCAGAATTACAAGAGCAATCAGAGGGGTGTGATTCAGAACTGCCGCTGGTGCTGGGTCAAGGCGAGTCCTTCACCCAACTCTTCCACGTCACCCCGCGTGTTGCCTCGCCCTCCCTCGTCATCGGCTCGCTGCTGCTCTCGTGGCAACGCCACGCAGCTCAGGGCAACACCAGCAAGGAGATGCACAGTCACGGTCAGTCAGTCCTGCAAATCCCTGCAGGCATGGCAAATACCTACGAGAAGGCTCTGGATAGCGGATTGGGTGTGAAGCTTGCAGGCTCTGACCCTGTCGCACTGACTCTAGACGCTGCAGCCCCACCCGACCAGCCACACCAACAGGCAGCCCAGACCCTAACCCCCACACCCTTATTCCTCCCACAGCTCTCCCCAACCGTCTCGTCCCTCCGGCCGTTCCCGCCTGTTCTCTCCGCGAACCCCATTCTCGTCGCGTCGCTGCGCCTACCGCCGTTCACGATCGTGGGGTCCCCCTTTTCCTTCTCCATCCGCCTCTCCAACTGCACCACCTCGCTGCAAGAGGTGGTGTATCAGCTGCAGGACGCACCAGGCTTTGTCTTTGCAGGCCAGCACAGTGGCTCGGTTACAGTGCTCCCCCGCGCCTCTCTGCGCCTCTCCTTCCGCCTGGTTGCGGTGGCATCGGGTATGCTGCAGCTGCCGCTCATTTGACTTCTGGCCCCCCGCCCTGCTGCCAAGCTCTACCCCTGCCTGCACACGTCGCGGCTCTTCGTCTTCCCCTCTGCTGCTGCTGTGCCTGCTGCTGCAGCATCTGCTGCTGCTGCTACTACTGCTGGTGCAGGAGTGGGTAGCAAGAGGGGGATGGTGGGCGCCCTTCTGTTGCAACAAACCTAAATGACAAGCATGGGAAGGTTGGGGTGCGAATTTGGCAGCATGCTTGCTTGTGCTGTCAGGCTCTGCACTGAAAGGTGGGTGTGTGCGGTTGTAAGCTTAGAAATGCTCACAGAAGTGCTGAATAATGTTACAAATTACAACAGATATCCTTACCATATAACAAGTTTCGTATAGGCTTATAAAAGAAGGGCAACATTCATACAGTACAACACGCAAGCAGATGGTTTCCCCCCTAATCCCCTACCTCTCCTGCTTACTTGATGGGCTGAATAGCTATAGGAGACCGCACCACGTGACCCTTATCGTCTGCCCATGTGAGGCTACCATAAACAAAGTTAGGATTTTTCTTCTTAACTGTAAATGTAACCGTGTAGGTTACCGTTTGCTCTGGCTCGATCGTGAAACTCTTAGGAGTCACAACCACACTTACACCAGGTGGGGATTCCACCGAGACTCGGTATGTCGAAGTTTTGCTGGCGACATTGGTAACCCGTCGCGTCACCGTCACCGACTTCGTGACTTTCGACACACTGATGGACGCACGGTTGAGATTGCACGCGCGGATTGGCGAGACAACGATCGAACGAAATTCCCACTTCGCCAGGTTAAAGTCCAAACCCGCGAGAAAGTTTCTGTATTCCGTCTGGTTCGAGTCGTATGTCAAGCCAGGATCAAGAACACTCGTAGGGTTCACATGTCCCGCGCCGATCTCCCACGGGTTCGCAACGCGCTCGCCTCGTCCTTCCACCGTGATCCGAATCGGCTTCTTCTTGTTGTTTCGCACGCTCGCCGTGGTCATAATCGCCGACATGATCTGCGCCGGAGTCCACGTGGGCCTTTCCTGGATGATAAGCGCCACGATTCCCGCCACATGCGGTGTAGCCATGGACGTCCCGGAGAGCCTCTTAAAATAGTTGTCAGAGTCGGTGAGTTTGGGACTGGGCGCGGCGCCCCATAGCTGGAAGCCAGGAGCGATGATGTCGGGTTTAAGGATGTCGTTAGTGGGCCGTCCGGAAGCGGGGATAGCGGCTGGGGCGACTAGAGGGCCGGTGGAGGAGAAAAACGCGACAATAGGCGCCTCGTTGGGATTGTTGGATGATTCAGAGAAGCTGAGAGGAGGGGAGAGGAAAGGGAGGATAGAGGAAAGGGAGGATAGAGGAAAGGGAGGGAGAGGGAAGGGGACGAGGGAGAAGGGGAGGAGGGGAGAAGAAAGGGAGAGGGGAAGAGTGGTGGGGACAAGGGAGCAGGGGAGAGGATTGCATAAGATTTGTGGGGTTGAGGAGCGGGAATATGGTGGAAAAGAAATGAACAGAGGGGAGATGAGGATGAAGACAATGTGGTAGGATGGGAACTAGGAATTTTAAGGTAGGTAGGGGTACTAGGCTTTCTAAAGAGGTGCAAAGGCAGGAGCAGGGGCGAGAAAGGGGAGATCACGCACAAGGGTCGAGTCGAAGGAGGGGGGAGCAAGACCGTACGGGGAACGGGGGAGTGAATGGCACATCGGGTTAAGAAGGAGAAATGGTTAAAGTAAGTAGGGACATTGGGGGAGGGGGGTGAACGGGGCCGTACGTTATGCCTTTGGTTTCCTTGGAAGAGACTGAATCGGTGGTCGCACCAGCAAGATCATCAGCACCAGCAGCACCACCAGCAGCACCACCAGCAGCACCACCAGCAGCACCACCAGCAGCACCACCAGCAGCACCACCAGCGCCAGCACCGCTGCTGCCACTGCTGCCACTGCTGCCACTGCCAGAGGTGCTAACTGTGGTCTGTGAGTTGGTGCTGTCAGCGCCATCATCGGAAACAGTGAGGGCCGTTTTACTGGCCGGGGAGACAATCGCATTGGCTAGCATGTCTGTGTATATGCTTATGGTGCTGATGGGGGGTTGATGGGGGAGAGGAGGGGGTAGAGGGGAGGGGAAGAAGAGGAAGGGGGAGATGAGGGATAGGGGTGAGAGGGCGGGGGATTGGAATGTGGAGTGAGAAAGTTGAGTGGTGATTTGGTGTTGGTCGTCTGTAGAGGCTTGTGTGATGATGAGTGGTTGACGGAAGAACCAAGAGAGGGAGGCAGCTTGCGTTGCAGATTCACGAGTGGGTGGAGAGGGATGAAGGTCGAGGGATGAAGGTCGAGGGATGAAGGGCGAGGGATGAAGGGCGAGGGATGAAGGGCGAGGGATGAAGGGCGAGGGATGAAGGGCGAGGGATGAAGGGCGAGTGGAGAACGGAGATGGTAGAAGCGAGAGGAGGGAGCGGGGACTGTACCTGGCTCCCACAGAGAGGTACCACGGTGCGAAGTTGTCAATCAGGCGGTACTCCCCCTTGGCCGGGTGAACATTGCCCGCATTGCCCGCTGCATACACCACCACCACGCCAGCCTGGTGGCAGGTCAGGGGGAAGGGAGATGGGGAGGGGGGAGGGTGTGGAATGGATACTGAATCTCTGCCACACAACGCAATTCCTCTGCCTCACTCCCTTACGCCCGTGCCCCACTCCCTGGCCGCTTCACTCTGTCAGTACCGACCGGAAAAAATCAGCACACAGAAATCTTGCAGCATGCAACTTGAAAGTGGAGCAGCTTAAAGCATGCAGGTTGGTTGGAGGTGGGCGTTAGAGAGGTTGGAGTGGAGCAGCTTAGATTCATACAGCGTGCGCGTTGAGAGTTGCCATGTCGTCAAAATACGTGCCGGTGGGATCCACGCCCCCGAGGGACAGGCTGATCACATCCACACCGTCCATCACGGCGGAATCAATGGCCGCATTGAGGTCCGCGGAGTTGGCCCACATGTCGCCGTCGTGGTTCTGCCAGAAGACCTTGTACGCTGCCAGGCGCGCTCGCGGCGCCATGCCGCTTATCGTGAAGTCGCCGTCTAGGAGGACCCCGTTGTTGCCCGCCGCCGCACTGGGGGGGATGGGAGGGACGGGAGGGGAAGGGAAGAAGAGGGGAGAGGAGGAAAAAAGGTGAGGGAATTGGCGGAATCAATGGCCGCATTGAGGTCCGCGGAGTTGGCCCACATGTCGCCGTCGTGGTTCCCAAAAGACCTTGTACGCAGCCAGACGCGCGCGCGGCGCCATGCCGCTTATCGTGAAATCGCCGTCTAGGAGGACCCCGTTGTTGCCCGCCGCCGCACTGGAGGGAGGCGCGAGGGAGGGGAGGGGAAAGGGAGGAAGGGGAGGGGAGGGGAAGGGGAGGGGAGGGGAAGGGGAGGGGAGGGGAGGGGAAGGGGAGGGGAGGGGAAGGGGAGGAAAAAGGGTGGGGCATTGGTAGATTGGGTCTGATTTTGAGTGCAAGTGGTCGAGGTTATGAGGGGAAGGACTGGGGGGATGGGGTCGGAAGGAGGGAAATGGATGCAAATGTGATAAGTTGATTTTCCAGTCGACTCAAAAGTCGTAAGGAAGGAAACAGACAGGGATGCAAATGTAGACAGAGGATGAAGTACGGGAGGGGTAGGGAGGGTGGAAAGTGGAAGGGAAGGGCGGGGAATGGAGGGACGGGAGAGGAGAATGACGCAGGGCAGCGAAGCACGTACCTGGCGCACCACGTGCCATGGCCAATAAGATGTTTTTTCAGTCGACTCGAGAATGGAGCCGGGCAGCGAAGCACATACCTTGCGCACCACGTGCCATGGCCGCTGGAATCGCGCGCAGACCAGTAATCCTTGCTGGTGTCAAGGTCGCCCTTGGTTTGCTTGTAGAAGCCGCCGTTGAAGAAGCGCGCACCCACCAGCTTCCCGTTGCACTTCTCCCGCGGGAAGTCGGGCGTCGCCTCGCACCTGCCCGTGAACGTTTTCGGAGGATCGCCGTACGGGTTTGCGACCTGCTTGCGGGGAAGGGGATGCGCAGGAGCGGGAAGATGGAAGGCGGCGTGGGGTGGATTCAAGGTGCGTCTTAGTGATAGACTGGATTAGCGGAAGGGAATGTGCAGAAGATAACGGCGGTTTGAGGCGAGGCATGTGAGGGAACAGAATTTGAAAGTTAGCAGGGAGCGCGCCCATGGACTCCGCGACACCTCCCGTTCCTAGACCACAACCACCATATTCCGTATTTTTGAGAATTATATGAAAAAAAAGACTCAGCAGAACCTTTCCACACGTTCTTCCACCGTCGCTGCTTTCTCCGGAACATTACTCAAACGCCACACGCGCCACGCACCGTGTTGGCGAACGACGCGTGCTCGGGCCAAATCCCCGTGTCAACCACGCCTACCACCACGTCCTCCCCCGCCGACGTCTCCCCGCCCGCGGTGGCCCAGAGCGACTGCGGAAGGCGCAGGAACTGCGGGGAGTGCGTGGTGGAGGGCGACAGGCGCACGCTCTGCGTGACGGCCGCCACGTCCGGGTGGCTCTGCAGACTTCGGACCTGCTTCGGCGAGAGCACCGCCGCGAACCCGTTCTGCACGTGCATCGCCAAACTATGTTTTCTCGCTTTCGTATCGGAAACCAGTTGCCAGCGACTGGTTGGGTAAAACCAGTCGTTTCGACTTGCAAACCATTGGCTTCGGCCAATGGTTTGCGATTTGGATGCTTTGGTGGCGTATCGGTTGCGTGTTGTCCAGCGCGAGACCGAGAAGTCGCACCTGATTTCGAGGCATGGATGGTGAGCTGTAGGTTTGGCACAGGTTTGGAAGTAGCTCTGAAGTTTTTGGCCAGTCGCGAAGCTCCACGCCTTCACGTTCTGGTTGGTCGAAATTTTGCCCCTGCCATCGATGGATTTAGATTCCAATATGCTGTATAAATGTTCCCAGTGTAACTTATCGTGTTAGTTGATGTAGATTTATGTACGTGAAAACATTTACTGTGATTTATGAATATGTTGTTGAATTTTTTGCGTATTTAACTCATGCAAATTTTTAATATGGAATTATAACATGATAATTAACATACAATGCAGACATAACATGGCGTATGAATTACGTTGGAAATACATGAATTTAGTGTTGTAGTGGAATTAGAATCACACACCTGCTACACATGTAACGAAATCGTTAATAAATTACGCGAAATTGGTACAGTTTAGGGTACCTTCAATCTGTATACTCCATAACACATAATCGCAAGGTCATTGCCTTTTCGACGCTTGTTGTGAGTATTGTTGAACATGTCTGAGAAATTCACTATACAGATAGGAAACGTTGCACATACGATTCATCCTGGCCGTTCAATCCAATCTGTAAAATATCGCCCACTCAACATGCGAGGAGCCCATGTACAGATAGATCGCGAGTGGGCCCTGGCAGGGACAGATCGTTCAACGTTCGGGTCTGTCCAGGTGCACAAAGGTTGGGGGAATTTGGAGGTTGCAGGCGAATCAATACTTTGCCAGCGCAAAACATTTCAGGTATGTGGATACTTCGCTTCTGCAGTTCGCACAACAGAAATGCTGGCGCGTCAGGTGTTTGCGCGCCAGATTCTCTTTTCGCTGGGTAACCAGTCGAAAATGTGTGCTGCGTCAGCCTGGCACAGCCCTGGTGTAGTTGGGTCAGGTGGTCCCAGCCGAGCTGGGCCCGGGCTGTGTCAGCTTTTGACCGAGCCACGTGCGATCTTGGCTCGGCCCCCAACAGCGCCCAAGGATCAGCCGCCCGATTTGGCTTAGTGCCCAGCCCTTGGTTCGTCGTTTTTCTGGCGTGTCCCGCGTGAGGACAAAGTAACCCTCACCCATCACGGGGCCCTGGTTACGGAACCTCGAGCAAAATCACTTGTCTAGGTGCACGCGTGGTGGATTCATTGACGCTTGGCAAATAATCGCCGCGATTGTTTTTGAACCAATAGAAACAAGCCTGCTACCCTCGGTTGACCTGCACCGTTGGAAACCAATCGTATTTCCCTCCATCGCAACGAACAAAAACGTGAGTTCGTAATGAAATTAAAGGTGAAGTGCGGTTGTGCGAGGTCAAACGTGTCTAAACAACTGTTGTAAACTTTCAGGTTGGGTGTGTAACACACATGTAATGACACCTCGTCCTTCAGAGGTCCCTTTCAACCATTCCTCGCCCTCCCCCCAAGCATTTCTGGTCGAGGGGGTAGTCTCTGAGGCTTCGTCATTTCTCACTTGTTTCTCTCAGATTGGTTTTTCTGTTTTTCACGTTCCTTAACTCAAGCTTCTCCAGAAGCTCCAGCGCCTAGGCTACGTCCCTGCCACCTCAAGCTCGTGTCGGAAGCGAATAGGCGCATTGAGGATATTGATACAGCACCACGAGAGCCATCGGAGTCCGTCACTGTGACAAATGTAGGTGAATTTTTTTTTATGTTGTAGGCAGGTCCACTTTCATTTCGCTACCATATCAACGTAGTTTCAACTTTATGTTTAAATGTCAGTAACCTTTGTCTTTGCTGAGTCGATCAATCTGACAATGTGATTTTATGACGGATTTTTATGCGTTGACGTCTGTCGTTATTTTCTGCCTTGGTTTTCTTTGATGTTTTCCCGATTCCCCCCTTTTTATGATACCAAGGTTTGGCAATCTGCAATCGTGTCTCCTTGTGGTCCGCTCATCTCCATTTACGCCTTTACACTGAAGCTCTTGGTAAGCATTTTCGATCATGCTGCAGAAGGTTGTCTAACAATTTAGCGTATGTGTTCGTTTGATTCCTGTGTTATGTCCAATTGTGCTTTGTTATTATTGTTTTACTGGAAGTGGTTGGCGTTTTTAACATGTCCTTGATTTTCGTTTTGTTCTGATCCTGCAGGAAATTACAAGGTTGCTGTTTTACCCTTAGCACAAGACAGTTTCTGGTTGTAGAAGTTGTAGATACAGTAGCACTGAGCAGCTTGGAGTGGGTGTTTTGTGTACTTTCATGTAATACAGCGCATTATTGTGCTACAGTTGGATACCTGCAACCTACCGTACCTTTCTGCAACATGGCTGATCAGTTGAGGCCTTTCAAGTGTGGCTACCCTGGATGTATAGCGACGTTCTCTTTTGCACATCAGAAAGCACGTCACGTCAAGGCAGGAAAGCACAAATTCCAACCAGCTGAGGCAGCATCTGAGGGATTGCGAGATGACAGCAGCCAGGGAGGAGCTGTAGGAAGTCTTCAAGAAGCTGCAGACCGCATTCTCTCGAAATCCAGCAAACGCCCACGAAGTCAAACACAACCAGGGCCGAGCCGTTTGGATCACCAACCGGACGCGGCTGAATTGAATGAGGATGCGACGGGCTACTTGTTTGCCCCTGAGTGCGATGCAACTTTGGTTGCAACTCGGGTGTACCGGTTGGTTCGCACGGCAGCTGGTGGATCTGGGCTATCGCGTGTGGATATAAAGGAACTACTATCCATTCTCGTCAAAGTGTTGGCCAATCCCGGACGGCTAACCATTAAGTCTCTTGCAGAGTTCGACAAGTACGAGGAGGAGCAATTGGCAGGGGCGAAGATTGAACCGTTCGAGCACGTGGAGTTGACGAAGGAAGGGGATTTGAAGCCTGTGATTCTCTGGCGGCGTTCGGCTCTGTCGTGCGTACAAGGTCTATACGAGAACGTGGCGAATGCGCACGGCTTCGTGGTGAGACCTCGGAAGAAAGCTACCCAAGGCAAACAAATCTATAAGGGTCCTGAGACGGGAAGTTGGTGGCGGGAGGTTTTGCGTCGACTGCCTGCTGGTGCTGACCCACCCACTGCTGTAGCTGCGGTGATCATCTATTCAGATGAAACGACCCAGGCGACCGATGGCGGGCTGAAAGGTTGGCCAGTGTACATTTCGCTGGCCAACATCGCTCCTGGGAATCGATGGAAACCCCACGGGCACAGGCTCTGTGCTCTCTTGCCCGAGGATGATGGCTCTCTCTTCACGGACGCGGCTAGGAAGAAACGGCGGCTTGAGGTGTTCCAAGAAGCGCTTGATCTCATCATGGAAGACCTGAAGAAGGCGCAACACTCGTAAGTGGATTGAACGCGATCTCAATAAGTTGTAATCGTCTATTGTGCGTGTTGGAGTGTTGTATCGCCATACACCCGTTTACAATACCGTTATGTATCTGTTGCTTGCAGGGGAATGGAGTTGACGGACCCGTATGGCATTCTTCGTACGGTATACCCGATCACGTACTCCTACATCGGCGACTATCCAGAGCAGTGCAAGGTTGCAGGGACCAAGTCTGGCATCAAAACTCGTCTTCCATGCCCCAGGTGCACCGTTCCGAGGGATGAGCTGAGTAACATGGAGTATCCTCTCACTTTCCGGACGGAGGAAGGACAGATGCAACATGTGATGGGAATGGAGAGCGCGCCGACACATGGGGCACGAAACGATTTGTCCAAAGTCCACAGCACACATTGCGTCAAGGTATGTCTTGTCGGACGCCTATATGCAACTTGGATAGAATTGTAAAGCTTTGACTCGTTCAACAAAGCTAACGGGTATCGTGTTGTTTGGTTGTTTTTGTGTGTGTGTGTGTGTATGTGTGTATGTATGTGTGTGTGTGTGTGAGTGTGTGTGTGTGTGAGTATGTGTGTGTGTGTGAGTGTGTGAGTGTGCGTGTGTGTGTGCGCGTGTATGTGAGTGTGTGCGCGTGAGTGTGTGCACGCGCGTACGAGCGTGTGTGTGGGTGTGTGAGTGTGTGTGTGTGTGTGTATGTGAGCATGTGTGTGAGTGTGTGTGTGTGAGTGTGTGTGCGTGTGTGTGTGTGAGTGTGTGTGTGTGTGTGTGAGTGTGCGTGTGTGAGTATGTGTGTGCGTGTGAGTGTGTGAGTGTGCGTGTGTGTGTGCGCGTGTATGTGAGTGTGTGCGCGTGAGTGTGTGCACGCGCGTACGAGCGTGTGTGTGGGTGTGTGAGTGTGTGTGTGTGTATGTGAGCGTGTGTGTGAGTGTGTGTGTGTGAGTGTGTGTGCGTGTGGGTGTGTGTGTGTGTGTGTGTGTGTGTGTGTGTGTGTGAGTGTGTGTGTGTGAGTGTGTGTGCGTGTGTGTGTGTGTGAGTGTGTGTGTGTGTGAGTGTGTGTGAGTGTATGTGTGTGCGCGTGTGTGTGAGTGTGTGTGAGTGTGTGTGTGTGTGTGAGTGTGTGTGTGTGCGCGTGTGTGTGAGTGTGTGTGTGTATGTGAGCGTGTATGTGAGTGTGTGTGTGTGAGTGTGTGTGAGTGTGTGTGTGTATGTGAGTGTGTGTGTGTGTGTGTGTGTGTGCGCGCGTATGTGTGAGTGTGTGTGTGTGTGTGTGTGTGAGTGTGTGTGAGTGTGTGTGTGTGTGAGTGTGTGTGTGTGAGTGTGTGTGAGTGTGTGTGTGCGCGTATGTGTGAGTGTGTGTGTGTGCGTATGTGTGAGTGTGTGTGTGTGCGCTTGTGTGTGAGTGTGTGTGTGTAAGTGTGTGAGTGTGTGTGTGTGTGTAAGTGTGTATGTGCGCGTGTGTGTGAGTGTGTGTGTGTAAGTGTGTGAGTGTGTGTGTGTGTGTGAGTGTGTGTGTGTGAGTGTGTATATAT